ATATATATATATATATATAAAAGATAAAATCTGGTTTCTTAGCACATTCATTGAGGGCAAAGTCATAGAGGGAAAGAACATGATTAAATATACAATATATGGCTTCACAATATGACTGGCATTTAACTGAATGCTCTGAGCTTCAGTTCCCTCATCTGTAAAATGGAGGTCATTATATACATGGTAGAATTGTAAAAATTGGGAGTAATGTTTTAATGTAGCAGTTGACAACCTTTTGGACCTCGCTGACCACTGGTGGGCGACCGCTATTTTAATGTGTCTGGAGTAGTATGAGTAAATAACCTAGTGCAGTGCCTAGGTCGTAGTTATTCAGGTAAATGTTGTTGTTGTTGTTGTTGTTGTTGTTATACTCCGTACATAATCACTCAGTGTGTAACCATCAATCCAGATATGTGGAGGACAAATAGCATTCCTGCTTAATTCTTTGTTGATAATTTTTTTTTCTTCTCCATTTTCCTCTTCTCCCCTTCAGTTGATTTACGAAGATTGTATGGATCTGATCGCAAAGCTGCCTTGTGTTGCTGCAAAGATCTACCGGAATCTGTACCGGGAGGGCAGCAGTATTGGGGCCATTGACTCTAAGCTGGACTGGTCCCACAATTTCACCAACATGCTAGGCTATACTGATGCTCAGTTTACTGAGCTCATGCGCTTGTACCTCACCATTCACAGGTGAGCTGGACCCAGCAACCATAGCCTGGATTGGTGGGAAATTTTAAAAAAAGCTCCTTAAAAGTCTCCTCATCTGGGAATAGGCAATAGGCAGCACGGTGATGGGAAACACGGTGTTTCCCAAAGTGTGGTACGCGTCCCCCCAGGGATATGGGAAGAGTTTTTGGGGATATGCACTGCACCGTGCTTAGCTGCACCTAATTCTACGTTCTCATGAGTATGAGGGGTACTCAGCTTACGAAAATTATAGAAGGGGTACACATATGTCAAAACTAAGGGATGATACAAGGCAAGAAAGGGATCTAGTAAAGAAGGTTAAGGGGAATTACAATCACATCAAGAACAAGGTGGTGCTTCTAGCTGCTCACATTAGGTTTCTCTCTAGCTTTCCAGGAGCTCCCTCTTCTGGCCATTGCTTATTAAAGCTGGAGTGTGAGAGCCAGGGAGCTTGGCACACAGGCTTCATCAACCAGTAAACAAAGGCGGGTAATGAGCTTGGGACATCTTTACAAGAGCTTATGAATAACTAACTGACTGACTGGCTGGCTACAGGCTGGTGTACGCCCATAACTAGGCTAGTATATGACAAATAAGAGAACAAGGTCTGTGTTTCCATAATCTGACCCTTTTCTTTCCCTTTTCTTGGCCTTGACTCTCCCTATTTCTCCACAGTGACCATGAAGGTGGCAATGTAAGTGCCCATACCAGCCACTTAGTTGGCAGTGCCCTTTCAGATCCCTACCTGTCCTTTGCAGCAGCTATGAATGGGCTGGCAGGGCCCCTACATGGACTGGCAAATCAGGTAAAACTATTCTTTTCCTGTTCCATGTTTTTCTTCATCCCATGCTTTTGTTGCTGATATTAGCGTTTTCCTTAGCGTATGTATTAACACTCTTATACCCCAAACCTTATCTATAGGAAGTGCTTGTCTGGCTGACAAATCTTCAGAAGGAAGTTGGCAAAGAGGTTTCAGATGAGAAGTTACGAGAGTACATCTGGAACACACTCAACTCAGGGCGGGTAAGCGTGAGAAGTGGTCCTTACAGAAGGAGCTCCCCCCTCCCATTATCTATCCTGAAGAATCTAGAAGAGACAGAATTCCCACCAGAGAATGTAACTGGCTTTTCTCCCCCTCACTCTTTATAGGTTGTCCCGGGCTATGGCCATGCAGTACTGAGAAAGACTGATCCACGATATACGTGTCAGCGAGAATTTGCTCTGAAACACCTGCCCAATGACCCCATGTTTAAGCTGGTTGCTCAGCTGTACAAGATTGTGCCCAATATCCTCTTGGAGCAGGGCAAGGCCAAGAACCCTTGGCCCAATGTAGATGCTCACAGTGGGGTGCTGCTCCAGGTGAGTCCTCTCTTCCTGCTTTCCCTTTAGTTTGCACCAAACACCACTGTTCTCTGCCATGCACAGAATCGGTTCCCTCTCAGCAGGACTCGTATCTTTCCTGACCTTTTTTACCAAGTGGCCTCTGGTTGGGGAGGTGTGGGCAGGAGGAGAGGGTGCCCTCTTTTCAGAATCACAATTGCTATCCTTTTCCCAGTATTTCTATTTAAGGCTGACGAGGTTAAGGTTTCTATAATCCTGCCCCTGCCTCTGGGCCTTTAACAAAACACTTCTCTTCTCCCCACAGTACTACGGCATGACGGAGATGAACTACTACACCGTGCTGTTTGGGGTGTCGCGAGCATTGGGTGTCCTGGCACAGCTCATCTGGAGCCGAGCCCTCGGCTTCCCTCTCGAGAGGCCCAAGTCCATGAGCACGGATGGTCTGATGAAGTTTGTGGACACTAAGTCAGGGTAAAACGTTTGGAGATGGGGAAACTAACTACCAGAAGTGAGGGAGCTTAAAAAAAAGCATACTTTTGTTTCAGGGGGCTTGTAAAGACTTAAGTTGTATCTGAGGCACTGGTAATAAGTTTGAGGTTAAATATAAATTAAGGCTTTAAAAAAATGAAAAGTGACCCCTCTTTCCCTAACCAACTCCTTTCCCCTGATTAGTATGAGTTGCCCATCAACTGTAGGATGAGCAGGACTAAAGCATGGGGGATGGGTTAGGTCTGGCCCCACACCATCTCTGTAGAGTGAGAATCGCTCCTCTTTCTCTGGGTCAAAGCTGACTGCAGAGAACCTGCAGCCAGTTGTTCTGCCGTCCTCAGCAGGCCAGCACACCAGGACTCTGTCCCTTGTTTCCATAAGAATCATGTTGGATTATCAGCTGTACTAAGCCCTGTTGCCCTCTCCCATGTGCCTGGCAAAACCTGTTAGTTAGCTGGACATGCTTTGGGTAATTTTTTTATTTTATTTTTAACATTACCAGGTGACCATAAAGGCCATGGTCATAAACTCCGTGGCGTTTGTTGTTCCTGGTACCCAGTGTTTGATGTTTCTTTCTTTTTAAACTTATCCCATAAAAATTAGGATCTGGGAGTGTTCTGTTCTCCACTACTTGAATACCTCCTTTGAGATTTTCTGTATGTGCTGCATGCACCTCCAGCGGAGGGTGCTCTGGGCCTTCCCCTCCATGTCCCTCCCGACTAGAGACCTTTCTGCGGATTGTAGAGACCAGTCTGATACAGGGTCTTGCCCAGTTATTTGGCTTTATCAGTGCTTACAATGATCTGAGTTTTTTAGCCATTACCCTCTGACCTCTCCCTTACTTTAGTGTGCTGTGGGCCATGGACTAGGGATATAGGAATGACAGCATGCTATCTTCATGGTCTCGATCCCAGGGATACTGGCACCTTTTTCTGAGCAGGAAAATGACTTACGTTTGGACACAGTCTCCTTTGAATACCAGGTCCCAGGGCTGAGGGCATTAAAAGAACGGCAAGCGTCCTCCCCATCCCCCACCACAGGAAGTGTCCCTTATTTATCGAGGTCCTTACCTGCCTGCCCCCCTAAGAGCTCACAGTATAGTGTTGGTTTTAGAAGCCCCATCTGCACAGGTTTTCAGTGACTCAGAATGCTCTACTGCCTTTTCTTTAAGAAAGGATTGAAATACACTCCTGCTGTGCCTCCTTACTCCCTCACAACTCCTGCCTGTGTGTGTGTGGATCCCCAATCCCCAGAACCACGCTGTTCAGATGGACACTGTCTGTAAACCCCTGGGTAACTTGTCAAGTCATGATGCAGACTTCAGGTTGTTCTGTATAAAATGCAAAATAAATGTTTTTATTAACAATGCTTGAGCCTGCTCTTATTGAAGTCCTGGAAGAATCTATTATGAGGTAAGAAATCTGGCTGGCGCCGAAACTGGTTTAGCTCAATGGATAGAGCGTCGGCTTGGGGACTGAAAGGTCCCGGGTTCGATTCCAGTCAAGGGCATGTACCTTGGTTGCGGGCATATCCCCAGTAGGGGGTGTGCAAGAGGCAGCTGATCGATGACTCTCTCTCATCGATGTTTCTAACTATCTCTCTCCCTTCTTCTCTGTACAAAATCAATAAAATATATATATTTTTTAAAATTAAGAAAAGAAATCTGGCTGGCAAGATCCTGGACTTAACTGGGTTATAGGTTATCATGTAGATCCCTTTATTTTTAGATTAGGTTTGACATTTCTTTATCCTAATCTGAAGGCAGGCTCTCAATGAGATTTCCAACGGAGATTTCTGTCCTTTCTCAAGGTTAGAAGTCCTTGACCTTTAGCCGCCATCTTTCCTAATTTTGTTGTAAGGTAGAACACTCAAGAACTATAGCTGAGACAAAGCTGATTGCAGAGAATTCGTCACAACTGCCGATGTGACGAATTCAAGGACACCGGCCCAGCCCACTGGGTGAAAGGACAAATGGGAATGGGACGGCTGGCTCGGTGTGAGCCATGGAGTGCTCTGGTACTTCATGGGATGCCTGTTCTTGCCGCCTCCCATAAAAGGGTGGTCCTGAGGGCATCAGTTATGTGGGAGGTCTGAGACAGGTCGTTCTATCCAGAGACTCCTGCTGCCACTGACCTTCTGAAAAAGTCTATTAATAGGCAAGGGAGCGGGTACTAGGTCCTGGCTTGTAGAATGTACTACTATAGTTAGCAAGGACACTGTGTTCGAGAGGCCTTGCACCTTCACTCCCCTAGGAAGGAAGCCATGACTGACTTCTACTCTGCTATACCTACATTATTCTCTCCAGAAACAATACCAAAAAGCCAAGCCCTGGCAAGGTAGCTTAGTTGGTTAGAGTTGCAGGTTGCATCTCCGGTCAAGGGCACGTACAGGAAACAACCAATAAATCCATAAATGGGTGTAGTAACAAATCAATGTCTGTCTCTCTCAAGTCAATAAATAAAATAATTTAAAAAGCCAAATTCACATTGTCATAATTAATTTATTGAAATTTTATAAAAACTCAGGCCAAGTGGAAGAATACGGTACATCCCAAGAGTATAACTCTGTTCGGTGCTTTTTTTTTTTTTTCCCCTCACCCCGTGGCACTGATAAGAAAGCCCCCGGCTCTCCACTAGCATGGAAATATTCTTAGAAGTGAGGTGACGTGATTTTAAGCTGCGGCCAGAGCTCAAGCATCCCCTGAGGCATTCCAAGCAAGCAAAAGTAATTGACCATCCAGTTCCTCTGTGTAGAGGAAAAGCTCCATTTATTCAGTCCTTAAGGAAAGTTGCTATTTCCCCTGATCAGACACAGGTACCTTGACAGGGCTCAGGGATAACCACACAGTCCTAATTACAATGTGAGAAGGCTGCAGGCATCATGCTTACAGGGCTCAGGTTGAGCCTGACCATTTCTTAGCATGTGTCCCTTCCACACCCCTGCCTTTTCTTTCCCCCAGCATTCCAGCCAGCTTAGAGCCCGCCTTCTGGAGAACTGAGATCTCAGACTGGGGCAGGAGTCAACTGAAATAAATAAAAGAATTGGGTGGAGAGGGAGAATAAAAGATTGCCTCAGCTGTGGTGCACCTCATGGAACATCAGTTCACGGGGTATGGCTGTTTCTGGACCAAACTTGGTGGCTGCCCGGCGCTCGAAGGCAGCAACATTCTTTTTGACAACCTCATCAAAAAACATGGAGGCCAGCTGGGAGTGCAGCAGAGAACGAAATTCAAAGGAAATCTGGGAATGGGTAAGAGACAGAAACTTCAAGATCATGTTGGATAGTCGCTGGCCAAATGCAAGGATACTCATTCAGCGCCTTTCCTTCCCTCCCCCACCAGTTCCTCAGAGCCCCTCACATGCCCTAACGTAGCACTGAGCACAGTGTTCCAAGTTTGATGAAAGGTCACATCTGTGGAAAGTGTCATTGACTTGGGAAGTCCCAAGTGCTAGCTATGCCTAAAGAGTGACTGTCATGCCCAGCCGGCGTAGCTCAGTGGCTGAGCATCCACTTATGAACCAGGAGGTCACGGTTCCATTCCCGTTCAGGGCATCTGTCCAGATTGTAGGGGTATGCAGGAGGTGGCCAGTGATTGTCATCACTGTTTCTCTCTCCCACTTCCTTTCTCTCTGAAATCAATAAAAAATACATTTAAAAAAAAACGGTCACGTAGCCCTGGCCACGTAGCTCAATTGGTTAAAGCCTGTCCCAATATGTTCGATCTCCACCTGGTCAAGGCACATACAAGCAATCAATGGATGCATACATAAGTGGAACAACAAATTGGTGTCTCTCTCCAAAAAATCAAAAGTTTTTTAAAAATAACTGTCAGTACCTCAGCTCTGGCCCCATACCCAGATGTATCCCTGTGTCACACAGGCTCCCGACTCACCGAAAAGTCCACAGTGCAAGTTCGGGGGTAGGCAGGAATACCGGGGCTGAATCGCCAAATGGTCTCTAAGTGATTGAAGAGCTTGCCATCAGTGCAAACAGCCTAGAATAGGGCAGTCAGGTAGTTAAACATCATACGATGGACTAAAATCTACAATAAGTATACGAGGCTATAAGAAGGAATTGAAAGTCATTTTCCTTCTAATCTTAGGGAAGCATTTGAGACACAGAGATACAATTATTACAAGAGAGGCCAAAATAACTCTTGAATGTAAAAAAGAGAACACAAAAAAAAATTGCCTGATCAATCTGTCCCAGACAGACCTCACCTTGACCATGTGAGGTTTGACCGTGGAAACAGCAGAGGTATAACGTTCCATGACAGGTGGAAAGCCAACCTCCAACTGGGCCTTCAGGTGACCTTTACGGCTAGACACCACCAAAGACTTCTTACACCACGGCACAAACTCGCAGTACTCCTGGACGTTAGACACCACCTCGAACATCTCCTGCATGGAGTACCTGGGGAAAGGAACCAGAAAGGCCAAGGAACTGCCCGCTGGTTCGGGCTTCTCCTTGCCCGAGGTGCACTCCCCCCACTGCCTCTGCCCACTAGCCATGCACATTCAGGAACTAGAGATCCCAACTAAGCCTGAATGGATGACCTCCCAAAAGCAAGTGCACACATTTTTATGATGTGAATGTTACCTTAGGACTCAAATCCCAGCTCTACAACTTAATGTAGCCCCTAGGTATATTATCTGTGCTTCAACTTTCTCAACTGCAAATCATAGGTAATAACAGTACCTAACTCAGGTTTATTGAAAGGATCAAGTGAGAAAAATCTATGTAAAACACCTAAGCAGCCTAACTGTTAGTAGTAGCAAGGGCTCAGTTAAGTGTTAGCTATTTTATATTGTGCTCAGAACACATAAACTCAGGTCGACAGAGAAATAATCCCGTTGTCTTAGGATACTGTCCAATTCTAGGCACAGTTCACATAACGTCCATGCAGGACAATCAAGAAGAAGGGGGGAGGATTAGGCTGGAAGGCTGGCAGGAGAGGCTAAAGGATCAGGGATAGACAGGGACGACTCTTGCCACCCTGACATTCTAACCTGGACATGGTTCCTTGCTTGGAGGGGAGGGGAATGTGGAGGAATGCTGGCCAGGGGAGGATGCTCACCCCATGATCCTACGCTCGGAGTAAGCCTTCCTCTTGTTGGTGAAGGAGGCAGCAAAGCCCATGAAGGAACGGCTGGGAGGCAAGCCGCCCTCAGCCGCCAAGACCTGGGCATGGGCAGTCCTGGGTAAGAGGAGGCTGCAGGAAATCAGAAATCTAAGCCCGAAAGGAAAAGGAGAGACAAACTGTCAGGTTTCTTTGGTGTTCAACCATTCCCGGGGGAAGAGGGAGAGGAGAGGGCACATCCCAGAGGAAGGTCGTCCAGTCAACTTTTCCCCCAGCACCTGCTGCAGCCCGCCAGGCTCCCCAGCCAGACAGTCACGAGTGCAAAAGGTCGAGGGCGGCCGAGGACAGAGCCGCGGGAGGAGCCTGGAGGCAGCGGGCTGCGTGCGAACCGCCGGCCGCCTCTGCCCGCCAGCAGCGCTGCTGCGGGGAGCGGCGGAACTTCCCCGGCTCCCAGCCCCTGGCAGCAGCGGGCACCGGCGCGCCCAGACCCCGCGAGGGGCCAGAACAGGTCGGGGCACCCACCCCGGAGGCTTCTCCTGCGGAATCACTTGCAAACGTGCTTCCCAAAGCTTCACCCCTGAACCCCAGGGCGTGGCCGCTGCCCCCCTCCGCGCGCCGCGCCAGCATCCCGGGGTTGCCGTCCTCCGCCGCGGAACTTCGGGGGTCCCGAGCGACCCCCTCACCCCCGCGCGGCCGCCGCGCCGCCCGCTCACCTCATTGGTCCCGGAGGTCGCGGAGGGCCCGGGGGCGGGGCCGGGCGCAGCGGGAGGCCGCAGCAGCGCCGGGCCGCGGCGCGCGTCCCGACCGGGAGCCGCCGCGCGCCCGCCGAGGCCATGCACGCGACCCTCCCTGGCCCCGGGCTCTGACAGCCGCCGCCGCGCCCGCTTGGCTGCGGGGGAGCGGGGAGCGGGCGCCCCGCGGGTTCCGGGAGCGCGGCGGTGGCGCGGGCAGCGGGGCAGCGGCTCCTCTCGCCTTGCTCCCGCCCGGGCCGCGGGGCGAGCTAGCACTGAAGCCGCGACCGCTGCTCCCGCAGCTCCCTGCACCCTCACGTCACGCGGTTGCCATGGCTCGGGCCGGAGAGGGAGGAAGCGGCGGCCGCGCGGCCTGTCGGGAGTTGTAGTTCCGCGCCGCTGGCGGGCTGCACCGGGCGTGCGAGTCCGAAGCCCGGGCTGGTCTGCGGGACCCCGCCCCCCTGCACCGGAGCACCGCGAGGAGCTCGTGGGTGTGACGACAGCACATCCCCGCTGATCTCCTAGAGCCTTTATCACCCGCCACCTTGTGTGGAGTTAATTCCATAATTCTGTTCATCCTTGCAGTCGCTGCCATTCTTGGGACTGCGCTTAAAACCTCGGAGAAAGGAAATGAATGTTCCAAGCGCTGGGCAAAGTGTTTACATAGTTTCCTCCTTTAGTATTTAGTCAATGAAGTCGAGGTGGAAAGAATCAGGCTTACTTCTAGGGGAGAGAGCCATCCTTGTCCGGAAAAAATACGCATTTGATGACAAGTGAGACCTCCTGGGCAGGAGGCACCCAGGCGATGAAAGGTCACCGTGCAGCCTTCCATCGGGATACAGGGGAATGCTCATGACACAGCAGGGAGAGCACCGGCCGGCTGGCGGGGTGGGGGGTGGGGGGGCGGGGGGGGGGGCGGGTGTTGAACATTAACCTCTGAGCCGGGAGGTCACGGTTCCATTCCCTGTCAGGGCACATGCTGGGGTTGCGGACTCGGTCCCCAATAGGGACCGTGCAGGAGGCAGCCGGTGTTTCTCTCTCTCTCTCACCCTTTTCCTTCGTCTCTAAAATCAATAAAATTATTAAAATAAAATATCCAGCCGAAACCGGTTTGGGTCAGTGATAGAGCGTCGGTTTGCGGACTGAAGGGTCCTGGGTTCGATTCCGGTCAAGGGCATGTACGTTGGTTGCGGGCACATCCCCGGTGGGGGTTGTGCAGGAGGCAGCTGGTCAATGTTTCTCTCTCATCGACGTTTCTAGCTCTATCTCTCTCCCTTCCTCTCTGTGAAAAATCAATAAAATATATTTTAAAAAAGAAAAGAAAAATAAAATATCCACCAAAACTCGTTTGGCTCTGTGGATGGAACATCCGCCTGCGGACTGAAGGGTCCCGGGTTAGATTCCAGTCAAGGGCACGTACCTTGGTTGTGGGCACATCCCCAGTGGAGAGTGTTAGGAGGCAGTTGATGGATGTTTCTCATTGATGTTTCTAGCTCTGTCCCTCTTCCTTCCTCTCTGTGAGAAAATCAATAAAATATATTTTTTAAAAATAAAATAAATAAAAAATAAAATAAAATATCCACTGGTGAGGATTAACAATGAGAAAATAATGGTGGCACCTGCTGTTACAATTAAAGATATTTATACTACATTGCAAGCCCCTCCTCTGCTTTCTTTCTAAATCTTTAGTCAAGCTCTTCACATTTAGGAAATCTTTCTATGAGTATTACGTGGGTGGGGTGAGGTGGCGAGCAGGTAAAATAATTAAAGGCTGCGTTACCTTTTAGGTCTAATTCGTGTGGAGGAGAGAAATCTTGCCCAGAAACAGAGGCCTGGAACCAGATTTAAAGCTTCCAACCCCCTCCCCTTCTCCCCCCCCCCCCCACACACACACACAGTCCTTGAGGTTGGCATTTATTTTGGGCTTCCCATGGAATCTGGACTGATTTAAAGTTTGAGCTCATTTTATATGGAGTTCATTGAGCAGGACTCCTCTCTTTGAACCCTGGCTTAGTTAACATTTTGTAAGGAAGGTGTTTTAATCCATATTTTTTTAAAATATATTTTTATTGATTTATTACAGAGAGGAAGGGAGAGGGATAGAGAGCTAGAAACGTCGATGACAGAGAAACATCGACCAGCTGCCTCCTGCACACCCCCCACCGGGGATGTGCCCGCAACCAATGTACATGCCCTTGACCGGAATCGAACCTGGGACCCTTCAGTCCGCAGACCAACGCTCTACCACTGAGCCAAACCGGCTTCGGCATATTTTATATGTGTTTATAAAGCCCCAAGTTTGGGAGTGATCTCATTTCTTTTTCTTTGCTAACATATCTCCTTTTTCCCTTGTTACCTCCACCCCAACCTCCTTCCAGTTCAGAGATGGTATTCTGGAGTCCCACTCTGTGGGCATGGGACTCTGTTGTAGGCAGTGGGAATTGGCACCAGGTGTCTGACCAATGGGGTCAGACCAAACCTGAGTTCAGCAACCTCAGGACTTGGGTTCTGGCTAGGAAAGGATTCAGAATCCAGACCCAAACTGTAAGAGAATATTTGCTGGGTAAATTACAGAGGTAGAAGAAGGAATTCCTAGAAGATATGGGCTTTGGAAACAAGTTCTAGCCCAGTGGTTCTCACCCTTCCCAATGCCGCAACCCTTTAATACAGGTCCTCATGTTGTGGTGACCCCCAACCATAAAGTTATTTTCATTGCTACTTCATAACTATAATTTTCTACTGTTAATGAATCATAATGAAAATATCTGTGTTTTCGGATGGTCTTAGGCTCTACAGTCACAACCCACAGGTTGAGAACCACTAGCAAGGTTGAAATATAACGGAGGCACGGATGTTAGCTTTAGTGGGGGAAGGTCAGGGGGTCCAAACGCAAGCCAGGGAGCTATATGGCAGAGGAGGAAGTCACCCAGTGTGCAGGTCCCGCCCTGCAGTTGGCTGTCCGTTGCTAGGCACCTGGGGCTTTCCATCTTGGTGAACCTCTGTGCCTGGCTCCTGTCCTTGCTCTACTCTTGTCTGTTTAACTGCCTGCAACATTTCCAACCCCACTTTGTCTGGTCCCACACCCTCTGACTAAGTGTTTGCACATGCGAGACAGCTGCTTCAAGTGAGAAGGAAGGATCTGGCCAGATAGGAGGCAGAGATTGACGGGGATACAGGACTGGACTGTGACCTCATTAACATTGAGGTCATAATGTTATACTGTGCCTTGTTACATTGTACCTTGCTGCACAGTCCCCAAGGTACAATAGGCCTGCCAAGTCAATCTGCTTGTTGTTCCCTACTAATTAGATTAGCTAATTACTGTCTTTTAAACTTTTCTTCGTTAATTCCCTGTACTTGGAACAGCCACATTTCTGCCACTTCTCCTTTGTTCTGCATTGATAACTTCCTTCAAATACTGGCTCAAAACACATCTCCTCCAGGAAGACCCTCCTGATTGAACCCATCCCTCAATACTAATGTCATGTAAAAGTAGCATGTATCCTGTATTCACTAGTTGTTCCATGTGTACATGTGTGTTCTTCTACTAAGTTTTAGGCTCCAGCAAAATAGACACCATTACTTCTTTTTTAAAAAAATATATTTTATTGATTTTGTACAGAGAGGAAGGGAGAGAGATAGAGTTAGAAACATCGATGAGAGAGAGTCATCGATCAGCTTCCTCTTGCACACCCCCTACTGGGGATATGCCTGCAACCAAGGTACATGCCCTTGACCGGAATCGAACCCGGGACCTTTCAGTCCCCAAGCCGACGCTCTATCCATTGAGCCAAACTGGTTTTGCTAGACACCATTACTTCTAAGTTTCTCCAAACCAGTTAGTATTGTGCTGTACTCAAAGGTGAGTTTTCAATCAACATTTGTTAGAAAAATTAGAACAGTCCTGAAGAGAGGCAGGCCTCTGCCTAGACTCATCCAGACATGAACCCAGGAGCTGAGTCCAGCAGGACTGTCCGCATCAGAGGGCTCTGCCACGGTTCGGGCCTCCTTCTTCCCAGCCCTGAGCATCTCCTCCAGCCTGGGAGTATCTGTGTTATCTACATCGCATTCCTTTTTCCCTATTGGGAAATCCTCGTTCTGTGCTCCGAATAATATTAAAAATAACTCTTCTCGCCCCTCCTCCTCCTTCCAGCTGCCCAACGAACCTGGCTGGCAACCCTCCTTGTTCACCTCCACTTCAGAGCCAGAACCAGGCACGTGACTCCAGCCCAACTCCTGACTGCCAATTCCTCAGGTTACCGAGAGCTATTTCAGGCCACACCGGCCACATCGTCCCCTCCTCCCCATCCTCTGGGCCTTATCCTAGCTTAGCCCTTCCTGGAAGGTCCCTCATACCCAACAGCCAAGTCAGCATGTCCCAACACCCATATCCATCTCCTCTCCAGCTACTGTCAGCTTCTACTTTTCCAGTCTCATCTTCATCATCATCATCATCATAATCATCATCAATTATTATTTTTTAAAATATATTTTTATTGATTTCAAAAGGAGAGGGAGAGAGAGATAGAAACATACTACACTGATCTTAGCCAAAAGGCCGAGAAGCGATGAGAGACAGAAACATCAGTGATGAGAGAGAATCATGTATCGGCTGCCTCCTGCACGCCCTCCACCAGGGATCGAGCCCACAGCACAGGCAGGTGCCCTTGACCGGAATCGAACCTGAGCAAACCAGCTAGGGCTTCATCATCAATTATTACCAGCCTGTTCCCATGTGTTGCTCTGCTAGAGCGATGAGGAATAATTTAAGCCGAAACCGGTTTGGCTCAGTGGATAGAGCGTTAGCCTGCGGACTGAAAGGTCCCAGGTTCAATTCCAGTCAAGGGCATGTACCTTGGTTGCGGGCACATCCCCAGTGGGGGGTGTGCAAGAGGCAGCTGATCCTTGATTCTCTCTCGTCGATGTTTCTAACTCTCTATTCCTCTCTCTTCCTCTCTGTAAAAAATCAATAAAATATATATAAAAAATAAAATAAATAAAAGTTAAGACATTTTTAAAAAAGGATAATTTAATGTCTACTGTTGCTTTCAGAGAGCTCAAAATCCCTTTTTCATAGAAAAATAAATGAACTCTGTGAAGTCCTGTGTTGAATGCAAGACTAGCTCACAGGAATGTAAAATCCATTCTAAACTGTTGGGCACTTGTATGTCACAGAATAACAAAGGTGTGCAATTTAAATGTGAGTGCTACAGGGTAAAGTGTGTTTGTTTTTTGTTTGTTTAAATATATATATATTTTTTTAACAGTGATTTTTTAAAAATATATTTCATTGATTTTGTACAGAAAGGAAGGGAGAGAGATAGAGAGTTAGAAACATCGATGAGAGATAGACATCAATCAGCTGCCTCTTGCACACCCCCTACTGGGGATATGCCTGCAACCAAGTACATGCCCTTGACCGGAATCAAACCCGGGACCTTTCAGTCCCCAAGCCAACGCTTTATCCATTGAGCCAAACTGGTCTTGGCTGTTTAAATATATTTTATTGATTTTTTACAGAGAGAGAGGGATAGAGAGTTAGAAACATCGATGAGAGAGAAACATTGATCAGATGCCTTCTGCACACCTCCTATTGGGGATGTGTCTGCAACTAAGGTACATGCCCTTGATCAGATTTGAACCTGGGACCCTTAAGTCTGCAGGCCAACGCTCTATCCACTGAGCCAAACCAGTCAGGGCTAGAGTAAGTGTTAAGAATACCTAACAAAAGGGAAAGAACCTGTTATCAGGGAAGACTTCCTGGGAGAGGTAAGGCTTACATAATAGTGTAAATTCTATTTCCAATATGGTAAAACAATAGCAATGTATTTTAAAAGTATATAGTGATGGATACATTTTCCTCTTATTTTTCACTCCCTGTCTCCCAGTTCCTCTCCGCGAAAAAGCACTGGTGCCAGTGTCTTGTGTATCTTTCTCGTGGGAACCAAGATATTGAAAGCAATGAGCGGGCATGGATTGTTGGAGAGCGAGGGAGGGCTTTTATATCGATTCTTGGACAGGCAGCCAGCTGCTACCCTTCTTCCTAAATGTGTTCCCTTCTTAGAGCACACTCACTGAGCTGCTGAGCTCTCAACAGGCCCTTAGCTGCCTTTTATAAATGGTACCAGTTTTCCAATGTCCACTTTTCTCCCCGCCTTTCCCCTTCTGGGCTGGGCTGCCCTGCATCCAGATCCTCCCGGATTGGCTGCTCTCCGGCCTCCCAACGGAGGAGGGGCCGCACGCCAGCCTTTTCTGGGTAGAAACCTCTGAGTCTTTTAAAGTGTAACGGACACCCCGCTGCCTGGCTGTCTTGCCCTGGCAATGTGGTCATTAGGGGGTCGAAAGGGGCCCCTTCTGTTGGCTTTGGAGGCTTCACCCTCCTCGCCTCTTCGGGGGGCCGACTCGGCTGCGGAGGCTCCTTGGGATTTCTCTCTGAAGTTGGAGCACTTCTGCTACTTCCTTTCTACGCAACTCATGTCATCACTAGTGGGTTTACGCGACTTCCCTTCCTCTGAAGCTATTGCCATATGCAATCCCCGGATCCCCGCGCCCCCGCCTCCCCGGGTCTGGGGGGATGTGGGGTGTGCAGTCGCCGACGCGAGGAGTTAGCTCCGGGGAGGCGTTGGCACGGTGGGCTGGGTCCTCGGGGCGGCGGGCACCGCAGGGCCACGGTCTGCGTTGCTGCTAGAGCCTCCGCGGGGGGCCGAGGGGGGAGGGTAGGGGGGGCCGGGGCCACCGGGCTGGAGAGGAGGCACCGCGCGGCCGCCCGGGAGCCGGGAACCCGCACGCGAGACGGCGGGGGGGGGGGGGGGGGAGGCGGGGGGGGCCGCCAGGGCCGGGCCGGGGGCGCCACCGGCTGGGGCAGCGCAGCCCGCGTCCTGCGGGGCCCGGGATGGCCGCCAGGGGGCGCTGCGGGCTCCCGCTCGCCTCCCCGGGCGCCCCCCCCCCCCCAGTAGGCGGGGCCGCGCTCTCCCCGCAGCCGCCGCCGCAGCCGCCGCCGCCGCCTGGGCCTCCCCGTGTCCCCGGTGGATCCTCCGCCGCCGCCGCCGGGAGCTCGATGCGGACGGAGCCCGAGCCGGGCCATGGGGATCCTCAGCATCACGGACCAGGTCAGCCCTTCCGCCTTCCCCGCTCCCCCCCCCCCCCCGGGGCCGGGCGCCGCCGCCACGCGAGCCCGGGGATGTGCGGCCTAGGCCCGGCCCGAGCCCCGAGCTCCCGCGGCTCCCGCCCCGCCCCGCGCCGCGCTCCCCTCCGCCGAGCCGGTGCCCTTGGCGGCCCGGCGGCGGCGGAAACGCCGCGGGAGCGCCCTGCAGCCGGGACCCGGCGCGGCGCCCCCTCCGCCGGAGCCCCGTCCCCCGCCGCCCGCCGCCCGCCCGCCCGCCTGACGCCGGTCTCCCCGCAGCCGCCCCTGGTCCAGGCCATCTTCAGCCGCGATGTGGAGGAGGTGCGCTCCCTGCTCTCGCAGAAGGAGAACATCAACGTGCTGGTGAGTGCGGCCGGGAGGATGGCGGGCGGGCCCGGGGCTCGGCTCCTTCCCGCCGGAGGGGGGGGCTCCGGGCTCCCCAGCGGGGATGACGCCGCAGTGCCCTCCACGCGGGGCGGCCGGGCGCCGGCTCCCGCCCTGGGGAGGGAGACCCGGACCGGAGCGGCGTCCCCCCGAAGCCCAGTGCCCGCAGCCCCTCCTCTCGGGAGGCACCGCCGCCCCCGCCGGCCCCTCGCCCGCCCTCCGCGGCGCTGGCGCGGGCCCTGGTCAGGATCCAGGGTCTGCAGACCCCGGGGGCAGGGGGTGTGGGGAAAGGCCCGGGGCTCCGCGTCCCCCGCTGCAGCAGCTCCTCTCTTCTGCCTCCCCAGGACCAAGAGAGGCGAACCCCACTGCATGCTGCTGCCTACGTAGGCGATGTCCCCATCCTCCAGTTGCTACTGATGTCAGGTGAAAGCGGGCGCCGGAAGGTGTGGCGCCGGGGAGGGACCTGCGGGAGGAGCCTCTCTCTCCGCACCCAAGGCTTGTTCCCTGAACACTGGTCCAGGCCAGGCTCCAGCCCCCTCCAGGCTCCCCGGCCCGATCCCTGGCTTGCTTTCCTGCCCCTTCGCCGCCGCCGCCGCCTCTCTAAAGGGGAAATTACTGCCCCGCAGGTGCTAACGTCAACGCTAAGGACACACTGTGGCTGACCCCTCTTCATCGTGCTGCTGCCTCCCGAAATGAGGTACCGGCCTCCCCTTCTTTCCCCAAAGAGGATGCATGCGTCGGTTCAAGGTGGAGGTTGCGGCTTGGAGAGCCTCAGTCCTCTGCCTGGCAAACTGGTCTACCCCCGGGGTAGGGAGAAGCCCAGGCCTGGCCCCTCCCTCCTGCCCCTAGAACTGGCTGGGAAGGTGGGGCTGAGTGTTGCCAGCTGATGTGACGTAAGGGCAGAGCTTAACACTGGGCTGGCAGACTGCAGGGGGCCCTGCTGCCAGGCGCCAGTGACTCATCCTTCCCTGAGGGGCCACCTCGGAGTCCGATCCCCCTCTGGGCACTGAGGAGGGACAGGGGTGGTGGTCTGCTGCATCCATGCCTCGAGCAGGATGAAAGTTGACAGCACAGGGGTCACACATGCCTCACCTGATGAGTCCATCAACCTTGCAGAGTGAAAAGGAGGCCTCCCTCTTATTTTAAGTCGCTTCCCTGGCTCGAGCCACCAGGGAAGGGTGGGGCCGGGGCTGGCGGGAAGGGGGTGGGTGGGGATGAGGGGGACCATGTTAGCCTGGGTTTCGGAGAGGAACCCACTGGTGAGGTGGGTTTGCTTACTTAGGTAATGAGAATGACTTTGGTGCCTGTGGAAGGGTCAAAGGAGGGCACTTGGGCATTTATATCTCAGGAGTGTTTATCTTTCCTGGAAGTAGTGGGGGAGTGGGTCCTCTGTATGTGTGGGTTTGCTTGGAAGTGAGTGACTGGGTGTGGGTGAAGGTTTTCAGGGTCGGGCAGAGAGTAATATTGGTGGCTTGAGGAAGAGGAAGGCATCTCTGGTTTTATCAGCAAGGTAGGGGAGGTTTAAGCTCTAAGGAGATGCAGAAGAGGGGAAGCAGGCATTGAGAGGCTAACTATGCTGTGCTGGGGGCAGGGCATGTGGGGGGATGGGGCCACCTGTGCCATGCTGACCTATTCCCTTCATTTCCTATTATTTTACTTCCTAACCCCCCTCTGTCGTCTCTGTTATCCCCTGCCTCTGAACAGAAGGTGCTGGGGCTGCTGCTGGCACATTCAGCAGATGTGAATGCCCGGGACAAGCTGTGGCAGACACCACTGCATGTGGCTGCCGCCAACCGCGCCACCAAGTGTGCTGAGGCGCTGGCACCCTTGTTGAGCAGCCTCAACGTGGCCGACCGGAGCGGGCGCAGTGCCCTGCACCATGCAGTGCACAGTGGGCATCTAGAGGTGAGGACCACGTCCAGTCCAGGCCTCGCCTCGCCCTTCCTTTCCTCCTCGTTTTTCCTGGCTTCTGGGCCCTCAGCCCTGGGGAGGAGATGCCCGATGGTTATATGAGCCGTTGGGCTCATGCACTGAATGAATGAATGGTCACATTAGATTGAAATTCTTGACTTGGACTTCAAGAAAGAGGGTGGTAAACTCTCTGGAGTTACATGGAAAATGTGTATATACATGCCTTTTTCTGAAGTGAGAGTCAGTGTCTTTCAACACATTTCCAAAGACTTTTTAAGAACCAGCAGATCGGGGGGACGTAAAGTATACCATAGGGAATATAGTCAGTAACCACATAATAACCGTGTATGGTGCCAAGTGGGTGCTAGAAATATCAGGGGGAGCACTTTATAAAGTATATGATTGTCTATCCACTGTGCTGTGTACCTGAAAACAGTACAAAACAAAATGGGAAGTAAACTGTAATTGAAAAACAAACAAACAAAAAACAAAAAAAAGCACCACCACCAGATCACCTGAAGAGACTTCCTCAAACGCCCAGTGTGTGTGGGATCTCCTTGGTGTGCCTGCTTCCTCTGTCCCCTCTGTTCTCCACGTCAGTGGTCGCCATTCGGTGGTCCGCAGACCATTAGGCTGCCTCAGCCTTTTCAGGAGCTGAGGCTCTGGTCTTAGGTAGGCTGAGGGCATGAACTTGGCACTGAAGGTGTTTCCTGTCCTGATACAGACGGTGAACCTGCTCCTCAACAAGGGGGCGAGCCTGAATGTCTGTGACAAAAAGGAGCGGCAGCCTCCGCACTGGGCGGCTTTCCTAGGTGAGAAGGATGCACAGGAAGAGGCGGGATTTGACCGTTAAGATTCCCGGGCCGGGCGTGGGGCTGCTGCCCTCGGAGAGGGGCACGCCACAAACCCTGCTTGAAAGCATCCTCTCCTCTCAGGGCATTTGGATGTCCTGAAACTGCTGGTGGCCCGGGGAGCAGACCTGGGCTGCAAGGACCGCAAGGGCTACGGGCTGCTCCACACCGCGGCCGCCAGCGGCCAGATCGAGGTGGTGAAGTACCTGCTCCGGGCAGGGGCGGAGGTGAGGGTGCTGAGTACGGGGCTGGGGCCGCGCAGGGGCAGGGCGTTGGGGGTCAGAGTCTGCGATGGAGATACGAAGGTATGGTTTTGGGAGCCATGGAGGATGTGAAAGGGTCTGAATAATGCTTACCTTAAGCAATAGTGCCCTCAGGCTTTGGGTCAGGAATCTGAGGGGGCTGAGGCAGTTACTGGATTTCTGGAGTTCTCTAGGCTGTGTGTGCCAGCTACCACTCTTGTTTACACTGACACCGCCCTTTCCCTCACCCCTGGAAATCCAGATCGATGAGCCCAATGCTTTTGGAAACACAGCTTTGCACATTGCCTGCTACCTGGGCCAGGATGCCGTGGCTATTGAGCTGGTGAACGCAGGAGCCAATGTCAACCAGCCCAACGACAAGGGCTTCACGCCGCTGCACGTGGCCGCCGTCTCCACCAACGGCGCGCTCTGCTTGGAGCTTCTGGTCAACAACGGGGCCGATGTCAACTACCAGGTACCCGCAGGGGCGGGCTGAGACCAGCGGGGGAGGAGCCTGGCTCTGGGTCCCGGCCACATCTCCCTTCTGGATAACTCGGAATTATCCACCGGCTTCCTGGGCTGATCAGAGCTTGCCTGGGACTGTGGGCCAAGAACATGTCCATAGAGCTATACCTGGGATATACATGGGGCTGCTGCTGGCACATTCAGCAGCTGTGAATGCCCGGGACAAGCTGTGGCAGACATCACTGCATGTGGCTGCTGCCAACCGGGCCGCTAGTGTGCTGAGGCGCTGGCACCCTTGTTGAGCAGCCTCAACGTGGCCGACAGGAGTGTGTCCTTTGAAAGAGGGAACAGGGCATTCTCTGTGCTTTGTACTGAAAAAAACACGCCATGTTTCCACAGAGCAAAGAAGGCAAAAGTCCTCTGCACATGGCTGCCATCCACGGCCGTTTCACCCGCTCCCAGATCCTCATCCAGAATGGTATGGATTCGGGAGGCTGCTCCCTTCCCTTCCCCCAGAGAACTCATTTCTAGAAAACCTTTCCTTCCTTCCTTCTGCCTCCCACCACGTCTTCCTGTCAAGATGGCACCTGAAGTTCTTTTTTTTTTTTTTTTTTTTTAATATATTTTATTGATTTTTTACAGAGAGGAAGGGAGAGGGATAGAAAGTTAGAACCATCAATGAGAGAGAAACATCGATCAGCTGCCTCCTGCACCCCTCCACTGGTGATGTGCCCGCAACCAAGGCACATGCCCCTGACTGGAATCGAACCTGGGTCCCTTCAGTCTGCAGGCCAACGCTCTAACCACTGAGCCAAACTGGTCCCGGGGCACTGAGCTAGGCGCCAATGCAAATTGCCCTGCTCTGCCTGCCCCTTCCCCTAAGGCTGACAAACAGGATGACACATGTGGAATGCTTAGCCTGGCACGCAAACTTACTAAGCACTCAGATGGGCGCTAACTAGTAGAAGTGGTCTGAGGCCTGAGACCTGCCTGAGCTTATGCATCTGCATCCCCCTCAGGCAGCGAGATTGATTGTGCCGACAGATTTGGGAACACGCCACTGCACGTGGCCGCTCGCTACGGACACGAGCTGCTCATCAGCACCCTCATGACCAATGGCGCGGACACCGCCCGGTGAGTCGGGGCTCCCAGACCCACTAATGGGCTGCTCAGATGCCTCACACCAAACACGGAGGCACGAAGAAGCTTGCTAAAGGGAAGCTTGCAATCTCCTAGGCTGGCGGTGGGTCAGGGGAGGAGGCCTCACTGGTCCCTCCTGGACCAAGGAGTGAGCCCCAGCTTCTCCCTAGGCGCGGCATCCATGACATGTTCCCCCTGCACTTAGCTGTCCTCTTTGGATTCTCTGACTGTTGTCGTAAGCTTCTTTCCTCAGGTACGTGCTGACCGGGGGAGGTGGGCAGGTACAGGGGAGCAGACGCCTGTCCTGCTCAGCGCCCTTACCTGGGATCGGTGGCTGGTCTGGCCCTGCAGGTCAGCTGTACAGCATTGTATCTTCACTCAGCAATGAGCACGTGCTTTCAGCTGGATTTGACATCAACACGCCTGACAACCTGGGCCGCACCTGTCTTCATGCTGCTGCTTCCGGAGGGTGAGCCTTCCCCGCCCAGGCCTTGGGGGGAGAGGCGGGCGTGGGCCAGCTCCTTCCCTGCCCTCATCTCTCCCCTCACGGAGCAGTTCCATCTTCTCAGCCCCTCCCTGCGCCCGTGGCTTCTCCCTGAGGCTTCCACTCTCTTAACCTCGTCCTCTTCCCTTCAGGAATGTGGAATGTCTTAATTTGCTGTTGAGCAGTGGAGCTGACCTGAGGAGGAGAGACAAATTTGGAAGGTGTGTTCATGTGCACAGGTGTGCGGAGGGCTGTCTGATCAGAGAGACAAACCACAGCGCGGGCTGGGGAGTTGGAGACTAAGTGAGGAGAATGTTAGGAAGCAGCTCTTGGCTGTGCATCTGGTGCATTTGGATCGTCCCTGATGCCTCCACCTGCCTCTTTCCCACCCCCCAGGACCCCGCTGCACTACGCAGCCGCCAACGGCAGCTACCAGTGCGCCGTCACGCTGGTGACCGCCGGGGCGGGCGTCAACGAGGCTGACTGCAAAGGCTGCTCCCCCCTCCACTACGCTGCCGCCTCCGACACCTACAGGAGGTGCGACTCCGCCGGCCGCCGTGGCCTCTCAGCCCCACTCACACACACACACACACACACACACACACACACACACACACACACCCCCGCGCCTCCCCTGACGTCTTCCCTCTCCCCCCACAGAGCAGAGCCCCACTCCCCTGCCAGCCACGATGCGGACGAGGACGAGCCGCTGCAGGAGTCCCGCAGGAAGGAGGCCTTCTTGTGAGTAGCTGAGAAGGCCGGGGTGCGGGTGCTTCCCGCAGTGCCAGCCTCCTCTCCTCCCACCGCAGGCACTCAGCGCGGTGTGTGTGGAGCCTGAGTTCAGTCCTGGACTGAGCACTGTGGGCAGAGACAGGCGTATGAGGCATGTGTCTTCCTCAGGAACAGGTGGTCTTCTTGAGAGGACCAGGAAAACCAAACACACAAGTCATTTGTTTATTCCACAGCATTAATTGAGTAATTACTTATTAGCTACCAAGTACTGTGCTGCGTACTGAGGATAAAGGGTACATTATCTCATTTTTCTGCTTTATAAAAGCTAAAAGTCAGTTGGGAAAGATAAATGAAAGGACACTTACACATTCCAATGTGAGATGTTAATAGGGGAAGTTGGGTACGGAGTGTATGGGAACTGTACCATCTTCACCGTTTTTCTGTAAATCTGAAACTCCTCTAAATACAAAGTTTATCTTTTTTAAAGGGCACTTACAATCAAAGAGGCTCAGCTTTGTGATCTTTGGCAAGTAACTTAACCTCTCTTTGCCTCAATTATCTCAACCATAGTAAGGATAAGACTAGTACCTGCCTTATAGGAAGGATCATTTGAGGATTAAGCTATTTAATGCACAGGAAGTGCTTAGAACAGTGTGACCCCTGGTGAGGGCTGCATTGTATGATCACTACTGGTACTACGGCTACGGCTGCTGAGCAGTGCGAAGGGGCCAGGGAGAACAGGAGAGGCACCTGACTGGGAAGGGGGGGCCTCACAGGAGAGGGTGCTGGGCCGGTGAGGTGAGCTCCAGATGGGCTGGGAGGAGGAGCCTTTAAAGTAGAGGGTCAGCAGGCCTGGAGGTCGAGAGTGTCCATCAGCAGAACGCTGGTAACTGGTACTTGTGTCTGGGTCCTTAGAGGGTGTGGAAGCCACAGTGGTTTAGGGCAGACGTGAAGGAGGGCAGGGCTGGAGCGGGAGTGGATGGGCAGGAGATGGCAAGCCTGGGTGTTGGCCAGCGAGGCTTGGAGGGGCTCCCTGGCCCCTCTCTCTGCCTGTCCCAGATTGTGCCCTCCTGGGCTGGCCTGTCCCCACTCACAGTCCCCTCCCGCCCCCAGCTGTCTGGAGTTCTTACTGGATAACGGTGCAGACCCCTCCGTGCGGGACAGGCAGGGCTACACAGCTGTGCACTATGCAGCCGCCTATGGCAACAGACAGAACCTCGAACTGGTACGTGTGGGGTGTGGCCCTGGACAGGGCACCTTTGTGTTTGTGGATTCTGAAACCCAGGGGTGACTGAATCAAATGTGGTTTCTAGGTCCAGGGGCTGGCTCGGGGGATTACTGTTGGTAATCGGGGGACAGGGCTAATATCTTGGGATTTCCAAAACCTTAGCACCTGCTGTCCTGCCATTGCAGCTCTTAGAAATGTCCTTTAACTGCCTGGAGGATGTGGAGAGCACCATTCCAGTCAGCCCTTTGCACTTAGCTGTGAGTCCCAGCCTTCCCTCCTGCCTGCCTTGTCCTCCCCTGCCCCTCATGCAGGTACACTGTGAACCGCCTGGCTCTGTCTTCTTGTGAAGATGCGGCAGGCGGGCAGTGGTCTGGGGGGGAGGCCGCGCAGGTGAACCCGAGGGGCTGAGGGGCTGTGAGGAGGACTGCTGGTTGCAGGCTCCCGGAGCCTGGGAGCAGAGGCAGCGCCCTGAGCTGTGGCCATCGGTCGCCCACACCCTCCAGGCCTACAATGGTCACTGTGAAGCCCTGAAGACACTGGCCGAGACGCTGGTGAACCTGGATGTAAGGGACCACAAGGGCCGGACCGCGCTCTTCCTGGCTACTGAGCGAGGCTCCACCCAGTGTGTGGAGGTGCTTACGGCCCACGGCGCCTCCGCCCTCGTCAAGGAGCGCAAGCGCAAGTGGACGCCCCTGCACGCTGCTGGTTCGTGTGCCCCTCCGGTGCTCCTCCCCCGCACCAGGCCTGGGGGACCGCACCCTCCCTCCGAATGGGACCGGGGCGGAGTGCGTGGGGTGAGAAGGATGGAGACTTCGTGCTGATTTGTAGCTTCCCATCCCCCGACCCCTGTAGCCTTGCCTGGCCTCCGTCCCCCGACCATGCCCTGACCAGCCCTCTCCTCCTAGCTGCCTCTGGTCACACTGACTCCCTGCACTTGCTGATCGACAGTGGGGAACGAGCTGACATCACAGATGTCATGGATGCCTATGGACAGTGAGTGTGTGTGGGCCGGGGTGGAGCCGGGCTTTCCCGGCGCTGCGGGGCCCTCACCTTCCCGCCCCCTCTTAGAACCCCACTGATGCTGGCCACCATGAACGGCCACGTGGACTGTGTACATCTGCTGCTAGAGAAAGGATCCACAGCTGATGCTGCTGACCTCCGGGGCTGCACCGCCCTCCACCGCGGGGTGAGTGAGCCGGGCGGGGAGCACAGGGCCCCCCAGGCGTAGGACGGAGGGCGTCCAGCAGGTGGGCAGGACTTTGTACGAGTCTTATGGGCCTCACTGTGTGTGCTTGACATCCTCAGTGGATCTCCTGGATCACCCTGCTTTGTCATCACAACCAACCACCTGCCCCCAGCCACCTGCCCCCCAGCCAGCCTGCTCCCCAGCCAGCCTGCCCCCCAGCCAGGCCTGCCCCCCAGCCAGCCTGCCCCCCAGCCAGCCTGCCCTCCAGCCAGCCTGCCCTCCAGCCAGCCTGCCCCCCAGCCAGCCTGCCCCCCAGCCAGGCCTGACCCCCAGCCAGCCTGCCCTCCAGCCAGCCTGCCCCCAACCAGCCTGCCCCCCAGCTAGCCTGCCCCCCAGCTAGCCTGCCCCCCAGCCAGCCTGCCCTCCAGCCAGCCTGCCCTCCAGCCAGCCTGCCCCCCAGCCAGGCCTGACCCCCAGCCAGCCTGCCCTCCAGCCAGCCTGCCCCCAACCAGCCTGCTCCCCAGCTAGCCTGTCCCCCAGCCAGCCTGCCCCCCAGCCAGGCCTGCCCCCCAGCAGGGATGCCCTGCTGGCCCTGCCCCATTGGGTGAAGATGCCATACCCAGTCCTTCTCCGCCATCTCATGTCCTAAAGCTGCCTCCTGGTCCCCCAGGATTGTTCAGTTCCCTTAGTCTCCTTACTCTGCACCTGTCTCCCATTCCAGAGTGCCAGGATTCACTCTTGCTACCCTGATTACACGTTGGCTTAGGGGTGTCGAACTCAATCAGAGAAGGGGCCAAAATCTAAAATCCAGCCTAAATCGCGGGCCGAATGGTTTACTGAACAGTCATAAACTGTCATTGTGATGGAAACGCAGCGGAGTGCAGGGATGACAGCGCGGTGCGGGCCACATTGCAAGGCCTGGCGGGACGGATTTGGCCCGCGGGCCTTGTGTTTGACACATGTGGCTTAGAGTCTTAGACGCAGTGGTTCTCAACCTTCCTAATGCCGCGAACCTTTAATACAGTTCCTCATGTTATGGTGACCCTCAACCATGAAATTATTTTCATTGTACTTTGTAACTGTAATTTTGCTACTGTTAATGAATCGTAATGTAAATATCTTTTTCTGATGGTCTTAGACGACCCTGCTAGCGACCCACAGGTTGAGAACCGCTGCTGTAGAGCCTAAGACCATCGGAACACGGGGAACTGTATTTAAGGGTCGCGGCATTAGGAAGGTTGAGAACCACTGGCTTAGAGAGTAAAGGAAGCAGCTGCTGATCGCTAACACTTGGAGTCACTATTGTAAAGGCTAGGATCAGACGGGGTGGTAAACACACAATACGACATACAGGTGATGTGTTTGTAGAATTGTGTATCTGAAACCTGTATCATTTATTAACCAATGTCACCCCAATTAAAAAAAAAAAGACTAGGATTGGGGCTCTGGATGTGGCTCTCACTCCTGGTCCTTGGAGAGGGAGTGGCTCCTCACCCGCCCCCCCCCCCAGGCAGTGACCGGCTGTGAGGACTGCCTGGCTGCCCTGCTGGACCACGACGCGTTTGTGCTGTGCCGAGACTTCAAGGGCCGCACCCCCATCCACCTGGCCTCCGCCTGCGGCCACACCGCCGTCCTGCGGACCCTGCTGCAGGCTGCCCTCTCCACTGACCCCCTGGATGCCGGAGTGGATTACAGCGGATACTCGCCCATGCACTGGGCTTCTTACACTGGTACGGGGCTGGGTCTTTGCAGGACGAGTGGGTTGAGGGAGGGACCTGGCTTGATCCGGTTCTGGAGTTAGAGTGGAGTGTCAGGAGACGGGAGAGGACAGGCGCAGGGAACCTTGTTGTTGTCTCTCCATCACGGCTCTGCCTTCCTCACGCCAGGACATGAAGATTGTCTGGAGTTGTTACTTGAACACAGCCCGTTTTCATACCTGGAAGGGAACCCCTTCACTCCTTTGCACTGTGCAGTGTAAGTCCCCCCAGCCTCAGCTCTGCTCCGGGAGTGGGCTTCTCTCGTCCCCCTGCTGAGCCTTCCTGTTCCCGCAGAATTAATAACCAGGACAGCACCACAGAGATGCTGCTGGGAGCTCTGGGTGCCAAGATTGTGAACAGCCGAGATGCCAAAGGACGGTGAGTGGCGGCGAGAGGCCTGGGGGGACGCCGCTCTGGCTCCTGCGCAGGCGGGAGAGCCGCTCCCTCTCACTGTGCCGGGCCCCGCCCGCCCGCAGGACCCCCCTTCACGCCGCTGCCTTCGCGGACAACGTCTCCGGGCTGCGGATGCTGCTGCAGCACGAGGCCGAGGTGGACGCCACGGACCACACGGGCCGCACTGCGCTCATGACGGCGGCGGAGAGCGGGCAGACTGCTGCTGTGGGTGCGTTTCCGCAGGGGAGGCGCCGCCCGCCCGGGGCTCTGCATCCGGGCCGCCTGCCTGGGCCGTCTCACCCTCTGCTCTGTCCCCTTTCTCTTATAGAATTTCTGCTGTATCGAGGGAAGGCAGACCTGACTGTGCTGGATGAGAACAAGAACACTGCGCTCCACTTGGCTTGTAGCAAGGTACCGCCTGCAGCCGTGGTGGTGAGGCTGCACGGGGCAGGGCGTGATGAGGGGCTGGGGGCTTGATGGGGCAGAGGACAGGCGTGGAGGTCAGGATCAGCTAGCCAAGTGGTCGGCAAACCATGGCTCTCAAGCCACATGCGGCTCTTTGGCCCCTTGAGTGTGGCTCGGCGTTAGAACCGTTTCTTCAACACAGACGCGCCCGGGCCACGGAGTTTCAGCCACACTGTGCGTGCCTCACGTGGTGTTTGTGCAAGAGCCACACTCAAGGCGCCAAAGAGCCGCATGTGGCTCGAGAGCCGCGGTTTGCTGACCACTGAGCTAGCCTGTCAGACGGTGGAGTAGCTCTTTGTCCCACTGCCTCACGCCCTGCTCCTCTGAGGCCTGTCACACTTCCACTTCACAAGTCTGCACTCTGTCCTCTCCCTCAGGGCCACGAGAAGTGTGCCCTCATGATCCTGGCAGAAACCCAAGACCTTGGCCTTATCAATGCTACCAACAGTGCGCTGCAGATGTGAGTGCCGGGGAGGGGGCTCCTGGCGGGGAGAGGCAGGCGGGGAAGGAAGAGCTGCCTGCACTGCAGGGCCCTCCGGCGCTCACAGTGCTCCGCACCCTGCCTCTCCTACGGGGCGGAAGCGCAGCTCGCATCCCACCGACTTCCTGCTCCTCTTCCCGCCCCAAGGCCACTCCACATCGCTGCCCGGAACGGTCTCGCTTCTGTGGTGCAGGCCCTGCTGAGTCGTGGGGCCACAGTGCTGGCTGTGGATGAAGAAGGTGAGTGGGGCCCTCCTGTCCTGGGTTTAGGGTCAGGGACACTTCGGGAGGGGACCTCTTAAATTTGCTGTGAACTGGCTTTTCGCCCCAAGGGAACTCCTCAGAGCAGGGACCCAGCACCGGCATGCCAGTCTCTGAGGGCAGCCTGTTGGAACTGGGTAGAGCCAGCAGGATCCTCAGGAGGACCCCCACGTCCTTCGGCCTCCGTTCCCCATGCCCCCCTTTGGCTCCACATGTCCACAGCCACCTGCCAGCTTCCTGTGACCCTCATGGCCCTGACTTCTGGCCATACTGGGTGCTTGCCTGCCTTGGTCTGCTCCGCAGATGAGAGAGCTCAGGGCCCGGGAGAGGGGGAGCGCGGCCCTGAGATACCGGACTCGGGGCCTCAGATCCCACCTTCCCTGCAGGTCACACCCCAGCACTGGCCTGTGCCCCCAACAAAGACGTGGCGGACTGCCTGGCCTTGATCCTCTCCACCATGAAGCCTTTCCCACCCAAGGACGCCGTCAGTCCGTTCAGCTTCGGCCTGCTCAAGAACTGCAGCATCGCCGCTGCCAAGACGGTGGGTGGCTGCGGGGCCCTGCCCCGCGGGGCCTCCTGCCCCTACAGCCAGGAGCGGCACGGCGCCATCGGGCTTGATGGCTGCTACTCCGAGTAGCCCCTTCCAGTGTCCCTCCCCTGCCGGTGGCTTGATATCTTATTCTATTTATTTAGAAAAGTCTATACATTTAGGGCACTTTAAAGGAGAACACGACTGGGGTGGGGTTGGAGCGGGGAGAAAAGCACTGGGGAGCAGCTGCTCACCCCTTTGCCATTCCATCCTGGCCTGGCAGGGGTCTGGGACCGACAGGGAGCACCCCAGGCCCTTGGTACCCCCAGGGCAGCCCCTTCTGCCAAGTGTCCCAAAATGATTGCTAAATGCCTGGCTCCCCCTCTCTTACCCCATCTCTCAGTTCCCTCTTTCTGCTGCCAGCGACCCCGACTCTCCCCTCGGACTCCCCTCTGTGTCCCCCGCCCCTCCTGCCAGGCACATCCCTCCTCCTCTTCCATACCCATCACTGCCTCCCTGCTCGGCCGGCTCCTCCATCCCCGCAGCAGTGAGAAGCCTTAATTTCTGGTACTGTGTGAGCACTCTGGGGGCACCCCCTCCCCCTTTAGGGGCAGCTAGTGGACAAGGGGGGAGGATATTTAGCACTGGGGCCTGGAGCTTTCCCCCGTTTCTGTATCCCGCCCCCCTAAAGTTCAAATGCAAAACACTTGAAGCAGCAACTACTGTACCTGGGCCCCAATCCTGCACTCTTCCCCTGGCCGCCTCATATGCAAATCAAGGGCTGGTTCTGCCCCCACAGCCTACTCCCCTCTGCTCCCTCCCCGCTGGCCTGGCCCCCACCACGCACTTTAACCTGCTCCTTTAACTTCTTTCGGGAGGCCGGAGCCTCTGGTCATTCCCTCCCTGGCTCTCCTCTCTTAACTCTGAGGCTTGTCATGAGTTTTTAAGTAAGCATTTTATCCTTTAGGGGAAGAAACAAATAATTTCCTGCCCATTTCAAAACCACAGCCCTGTTGTGTCCTACGTGTTTCAGGCATGTGTATGCATGTGTGGAGGGAGGGACTGTCTCTTCCTCCTGTGCCCCGGCCCTCTAGTTCCCCTGCTCCCTGTCTGCTGCCACCTCCCATTATGTCCAAGAGCGCCCACGGCCCCGTCACTCCTGATCTGAAGCCAAAGATGGTGGGAGGGGCAGGGCGGGCGAGGGACCGTGGCTCCTCGGGACCGGCTCCCCTCCCAGGAGGACGGAGCTCTGGGCTGAGGAGCAGCAGAGCCTGAGGCATCAGGGAGAGGGGTTTGAGCAAGGGGCTGCACTGAGAAAGAGTCCTCTAAGTTGCACCCTAAAAGCCAAACTGGGCTGCAGTGAGGGGGCAGTTTCTTCTTTAATGTAGCATTGAATTTGGCCCTGGTCCCTTCAGAAGCCCTGTCCACCATCTCCTAGCTCAGCCTCCTGGACAGCTGGACCCTCCCCCAGCCCGGTGTTCCCTTCCTCACACTCAATACCTCAGCCAGGGGCCAAGACACAGAACTTGAATAGAGGTCATGCCCCCTCCGCGCCCACAGTGCGTCCTCGCCCGGTTTGGCTCCATCAGTATTGTCCCCTGAGAACTGGATGGGCTTCGTTTACACAGCGGAGGGGCTCCCCGCCCGGGGCCCCTCATTCTCCTGCCCCTCTCCCATGCTTGCTTTATTCACCATCGCTCCTGATTTCCAGACGTGGCCCCTGCGAGTCTTGCTACCCTTGCCAAGGGTGGGCTGAGGGGAGAGGGGGCATCCCAGGGCCCCTCCCTCCCTCACAGATACCCTTAACCATACCTCATGCCGGTTCCCTGATGCCTGGGGTGTTTGTCCAAGTCCTCATTCTTCTGTCCCTTGTCCCTTTCTGTCCTCTATCTTGCTTCCCCCACCCCTTAGTTCCTAAACCATTTCAAAGCTTCCAGTGACCATTGTTGGTGAGAAGGATTGTGCAGCTTTTAGTTTTTATTTTTGTTTTCAAAGCCAAAGGGCCTTGCGACGCCCCTCTTGCCCGCCCCCCTTACGCCCCGCCCTCCCCTATACGACAATCAATGTGACCTCTCTTAAGGGCTGCAGTGCCCCCCGCTGGATCTGCAGAGCTTGCCCCCGGCTAATTCTCTCCTGAACCTTCCCCCTCCATCCCTCCCTCATTTTGGTGCTGGGAACGAGGCGGAGGGGCGGGGAGCCTCGGGGTGTCAGTCGTGTTCTCCTTTGGGGACGGTCGGTCGGTCGGTCGGTCGGTGATGAGAGTGCTTGTCAGGAGCCCGCGGCTTTTGGTGAGGTTCTGGCGGCTGCTCCCGCTGCCCGCGGCACCGTCAGCGGTGCTGGGCCCGCGGCGGCCTGTCCCCCGCGAGGCGCGAGGCGGAGGACACGCAGCCCCTCTCCAAGCCAGAGGGCCGCCCAGTTCTCAGTCCCTTGTGTTTTTGAAGCCTTTTGACCATGCTCATGGCCACTGCATATTTATTTTAATGTTAAGATTTTTTTAACCTCTGACTTAAACGGGTGTGGAGACGGGAAAAGCAGGCAGAATGCCCCGGTCTTGAGGGGGTGGGGGGGGAAGAAACCTTCCCGGCGCCTGCCCCCCCCTCCCCACCGCAGCTCTAAAGCACTTGCTTCAAGTAATAAGCACTTTGAGAAAAGGCCTGTTTTGAGTGAGGATCCTGGGAGCAGCCCCAGGTCCCAGCAAAGGAGACAGAGCGAGGGCTATACAGGAGACAGGGAAACAGACGTGTGAATCCGAGGGCGAGATGAAGAGCCAGTTTTTAGTTTCCGGTTTTGGGGGGATATGTGTCTGATGGGGCGGTGGCTTCGGTGGGGTGTGTACTAACCTTCGGAAAAACACGGCACAAACTGTGGGTCCCAGGATGGACCGACAGACCCAGGTCACTGCCACTGTCCAGCTGAGACTGACGGGCCACTCCCCGCCCCTGGCCGGAGCCATAGGACTGCTGAAAACCACTGAATGTACAGCCGCGCTGGGTGGGGGGGCCGGGGAGGGGCTTCTCCTTGTGTTTGGTGCTGTGGGGGGTGGGAGAGAGGAGACTGAGGGACTGCCACCCCACTTAGACGTGTTCCTCGGGGTGGAGGGCTGAGGGCCTGGCTCCCTCTCAGCCCCGGCCAGGCCCCTCTTCCTTCCTCATCCCTATCCGTTTTGACTGTAAGTCCAGCTCACCTTTGCCTTCAATATGTAACCAAAGGAAAACTCAATACTGTTTCCACCGCTGTCTGCCCACCGAGCGCCTCTTCCTCCGAGACCCAGAGGGGAGAAGAGGCTGGGGGCACCGGAGCGTGGGGCCAGAGCGAACGGTTCTGCCGCTGAACCCCCAAACCTCTGGGGTCTCAGAGGGGCCCTGAGGCGGGGCGGAGCCAGGCTGGAGGGCTGGGAGCAGGCCCACTGTGGATCTCGTGCACATGCGTGTTTTTTCGTTCGAATGACTCCAGTGACTGTGCTCCAGCAGGGAGGCCCCTTCCTCCTTCCCTCTCCACCATTCCTCCCCTCTCCCCACGCCCAGTGCTCATCCCCTCCTCACCCCCCTTCCCACCGCAAAGGAAAATAGCCTTACAGACCCTAGCCCAGAACCCCCGGGGCCACCCCCGTGGAGCCCCGTCCTGCCGAGTTTGAACCCTACCTTGTAAGAAGGAGGGAGAAGGAGCAAAGCAGCCCTTCCCCCGATCATGTGGCTCCGTCCCCGCACTGGCCCCGGCGGGCCAGGCCGAGGTGAGGAGTCTTTGAGGACCAAGCCCAGTGGTCTGGGAAGAGGGAGGTAGAGAAGGAAGGGTCTGTCTTGAGGACTCCCTCCTCCCAACCCAACCCCTAGAGAAGCGACCAAATCCCAGAGATGGGAGGAAGCTGGGTGGGGAGGGTCTGCTCTATGAATTACTTGAAGGTACTGACTCTGAGGCTGCTGTTGCCCACGTAGGTGTGAGGGGGACGTGTCACTGCACCGGGAGGCGGCGGGCGAGAGGATCCACCCCTGGCCGTCTCGCTCCTGCGAGGCCCCTCCCCCGGGAGCCGGCTTCGCCCCCAGGGACGCTGGGGGAGCCTTCCCTCCATGTCCATCCCTCACTGTGGGCGCCCTCTCCAATTGCACTAAAGTAGCTGTTGTGCCAGTCTTACCCCCACAGCAGGTGGGGTCTCTGCTTCCAGTCCTTTCTCCCCCACAGCCTCTGCTCCCTCCCGGACAATCTCCTGTTCCCTGTTTCCCGGGTAGCTCAGCTTTGTGTGTGTGCGTTCGGGGTGGGGTGGGTTCCGGCTGGGGGGCTTGGTCGGGGTTGGGAAGGGCTAGGGGAGAGATGGAGGATGAAGTCTCCCATCCCCTTCCTCAACCCCAAGCCACAGAGGCCTGGGAGGGAGGGTGCCTACTCTCGCTGCTGTGTGTCTTGCAGATGTGCCAAAACGGGGTTGGGTGGGGGGGAGGGTGCCTGGCAGAGTGGCCCCCAGGGTGGCTCTCTCAAAGCAATACAGTTCCTCCTGCCTGGGGGACGGCAAGACAGGGGAGAGGGTTGGGTGGGGACCTGGGGGTTCCCTGTGTACAGCTGTGTATATTCAGGGTGTTCTCTGTCTGGTACTCGCTGCGGACGTCACGTGTGTGTGACCCCCCCCCCCCCGTGCCCTGCATGACCTGTGATGCTGCAGACACCACCATCCTGTGTGCAAGGGTGCGCGGGGCGCCGAGGCCGTGTCCCGTGTCCTCGGTGCCCTCCACCCTGTGACCCATGTACTCGGTTGTAGGAAGTAAAGAGAACTGAGCACAATTCACTGGGTTCTAGTTGAATCTTTCTCTAAGCAATGCTCCCCTTCCTGCCCGCTCCCTGCCTTGGATCCACCTGTGGTGCTAGCGTTGGGGTCGGGGGTGTTTGATGCTGGTGGTCAGCAATAAAGGGCAGGTGTGCCCGGATGCCTGTATCCCCAGGGTGCTGAGGGCAGCAGGAAAAAGGGGGGACCTCAGTGCACTGCCCCATCCCTTCCCCTCCTCCCTGGGCTAAAGCACAACGCTGTCCCCACAGATTGATGCACCCTGCGTCCCCTAGGTCCAGCTCGTGTCCTCCCCCCAACCTGCTTTGAGCCCTCTCCCACCACATCCTGGTTTTCTATGCTGTTTTGGTGCAAGTACAACTGTCGTAGTCATGGCTTTAGGATGGGTTCTGTTTATTAAAATCCTATTGCTCCTACTGGCCCTGTGTCCCGCCTCCATTCCTGTGGTTGGGGGGAAGGAAGGGCAGCTGGATGCCTTCCGCTGGCCCGTCAGCCCTCAGAGACCAGGGGCCGCAGCCGCTCCTCCAGCAGGACGATGGTGAGCATGAGGCTGCCCCCCAGCAGCAGCCCCAGCCCCTGCAGGAGCACGTCCCGGGCAGGGAGGGGCTGGGGAGGACGCAGCAGGGCTGGCAGCTGAAAGGAAAGGAGAACGTCAGGGTCCTGCCTGCCTTGTCCCCAGGACACGGGAGGGTGTCAGGCAGTGTCCGAAGCCCCCGCCCCGGCTCCGGCAGGCCCTCGCCTCTCAGGCTCTGCAGGCCTGTGGTCGGCAGCCTGTTCCGTGTGGCCCCTCTCCCCCACCCAACTCCCCCCCTCAGTCTCTCTGCACCGCCCCACACCTCACCATGTCCACGAGGGCGACATAGAGGAAGACCCCAGCGGTAACCCCAAACACCAAGGGAGTGAGGGGGACGGGGCCCAAGCTGAGCCCCACCCCCAGGGCTGCCCCCGCGAGTCCCAGGGCTCCGGACACGAGGCTCAGCAGCAGCAGCCGCCGGAAGTGCAGCCCCGCCCGGAGCAGCATCGCAAAGTCGCCTGTTGGGAAGAGAGGAGGGAGGATAAGCCGGGGCTGCCCTCACCAGTGCCACCCCGACCCCACTGCCATTCCTACCCAGCTCGTGAGGCAACTCGTGGCAGAACACCGCGAGGGTGGTGCTGAGGCCGCTGGAGAAGCCATCGGAGAAGGCAGCGCCTGGGGTGCAGAGCTGGAGGTGGGCGGTCTGGAAGGAAGCTCTCCCCGGGGGCCCTCTCCCAGCCGCCAGGAGCCAGGCGCCCGGCCTGCCCCTGCCCCCCCGGCATACCTATGGCCAGCCCATCGGTGAGGTTGTGCAGACCGTCTCCCAGGAGGACCATCCACGTGATGCTGGTGTCACTGCCGCCCTGGTGCCCGTGACTGTGGCCGAGGTGCCCGGGAGGGCCCGGGGCTGGTGGGGGGTGGCTGTCCGGCTCCCCGCAGCCCTGAGTCTCTCGTTCTGCAGGAGGAAGGACAAGGACAGTGTTAGTGGCTGCAGGTGAGACTGGGAGCCTAGTCATCCTCTTCTCCTCTGGTTACCTGGAGCTGCCGGCAGGGGCCGAAGGGCCATCCCACTGCTGTCCTCGGGGTCCAGGGCCCGTGTTCTGAGAGTCTGTCTTTTCCGCCTGCAGCAGCTCTAAAACAGGGGGTATCCCTCCTGGTGGAGGAGGCAGCAGAGCTGGGGGCTAAGGAGAGGCCAGGCTACCGGCTGGGAGCAGGAACACCTGCTTCTGTTTTTGGCCTCCACGCTCTTCCCAGTTTGGCATCTCCCTGTTGCCTTGAACTCGGGAGAGGAAGCTATGGGGCCAGAGTCCTGAGTCTCTGCTGAGGGAGCCCTGCCCAGCCCGTTAGCAGTCAGGCCTGCGGTCAGGCAGGTGGCGCAGCCAGGAGCACACTCAGCCCCTCACCCTCTGGCTCACGTGGCCAGTTCCTGGCTGGAGGAGGAGAGGAGTGCCACTCACCGGCCTGAGCCCTCGGCGCCGCAGGATCCCTAGCGTGTTCTCCAGCAGGAAGAGCAGGAAGAGACCGCCCAGTACCGACAGCCCTGGAGCCAGGTCTTCCTCTGGCTGCCCGCTGTGCCCGGAGTGATGCCCTCCTTGTGCCTGCCAGAGAGGACATCAGGACGACCCCAGAAGCCCCTGCACCCGACCGCCCCCTCCTGGGTGTGAGGTGGCAAGCCTTCACGCCCCTGCCACCAGAAGGCAGTGTGGGCTGACGGGGCGGGGTGTCCTGTGACTGGGAACACCATGGGGCAGGGGAACACGGAAAGGGATCCACATACATGTGGCAGCAGGTGTAGCAGCGCGTCCCCACAGAGGGTGCCCACGGCCAGGGCCGCCAGGAAGCCCAGCAGGGGCTGCAGGAGACGAGATCCCAAGAGGCGGAGCAGCAGCAGCGAGAGGGGCGTGGGGAGGCTGAGCAGCAGGACCGCCAGGGCGCTGTGAACCAGGGCTGGAGAGTGGGGTAGGGGCTCAGAGGCAAAGATACACTGCAAGGGGAGGGCAGTGCCCAATGAACCCCCTTCCTTGGCAAGGAGCCACTCCCTACCAGGATTCAGGGTGCCCCCCCACCCTCTCGCTCACTGACCAGATAGTAGATCCCCTGGTGGGGCTGGAACTGGGGCCTGGATGCAGACACGGCTGTCGATCTGGTAAAGCAGGGCTGGGCACAGCAGAGCGAACTGACGAGGGGTCAGAGGAGCAGCGGGGCTCAGGCCAAAGTTGACCAGCAGCTGGGAGCCATTCAGACACTAGGGGAGTTGAGTTGGGAGTCATACATTCAACTGTGGCTCCGATGTGCCTTCTACCCCCTGGGCTCCTGGGTCTCCCAGGCCCCCTCTCGCCACCACCCCCATCTCCCCCTCACCACCCCCCATCCCGCCCCTTTGCATCCGGGAGGGACTGGGGGACAGGTACAGGTACTCAGTATGTGTTAATTAGTGAATATTCAAATAATCCAATGCAAATAGTCAAAACAATTTCCTCCCTGCCGAGCACCTGATGATTTCACTGATTTAATCATGGAGTTGGTTGGACAACTAGAGTTCTCCAGTCCAGATTCTTAGAAGGGAAAAAAACACCTGTAACGCTATCAGACCTTCCTCTCAACAGTCCCGTCACGTGTACCCAGCCTTGGCCTGAGCGCTTCCTGCTGGGGGGCTCCCTCTCCCAGGCCTGCTCCAGGCTGAGGTCTGGCCGCCCTCCGGCGGATGTGGGACAAGACAGCCGTCAGCTCTCTGCAGGTCTCCGCGACAACCAGCCCCACAGCCTACCCTGGGCTGCTTCTCTGGGGTCCAGTGTGACACCTACGCTGGGATGGCATCCCCTAAGCCCACATCTGGGTTGCCCTGGCCAGTGTTGCTCAGTCTTTAGAGTCAGCCCTGAAACCAAAGGGTCTCAGGTTTGATTCCCAGCCCAGATGGGGGGCATGTGGGAAGCAACCAATCGATATGTCTCTCTCACATTGATGAATGTTTCTCTCTCCCACCCTCCTCCCTCCTACTCTCTAAAAATCAATGGAAAAATATCCCTGAGTGAGGATTAACAACAAAAAAGGCCACATCTGGATTTTTAAAAAAGGACTGTATTAAATTACTGAATCTTTATCCCTGGCTGGGTAGCTAGTTGTTGAGTGTCATCCTGATACACCAAAGTTGCAGGTTCGATCCCCAGTCAGAGCATATACCAGAATCAACCAATGAATGCACTAAATAAGTGAAACAAGGTGGATGGGGGGTGCGTGGATGTGGAAGAGGGGATAGATGATGAGAAGAAAAAAAAAAGTGGAACAACAAATTGATGTTTCTAAAAATCACTAAGTAAATAAAAAATGTTTAAATTACTGGCTCTTTAAATATTTTATCCCATGGCGCCACCCCCTCTCCAGAGATCATCAGACTCACGTCCTCATTCCGATGGTCAGCCAGTGAATGGTCCAGCAACAGGAGCCTGTGGAACAGGTCCAGGCCCGAGGGGGCTGGCCCATGGGGGGGGTGGGGGGCCTTTGGTTCCTCAAGGTCACCCCACCCTGAGGGACCCAGAGGCAGCTCTGCCCAGACGTCCACGTTCAATTTGGGGTCCTGTGGCCTGGATGGATGGGATAGAAAGTCAGATGCCCAGCCCTGGCCACTTTTGCCCAGTGGTTAAGGGGTCAGCCTGGGACGGAAGCGTCTTGCTCAGGTTTGATCCCTGGTCAAGGGTATGTATCTGGGTTGCAGGTTTTGATCCCTGGCCTGGTCATGGCCGGGGTGAGAGACAAGCAATCCATGTGTCTCTCACATCTGTTTCTCTTTCCCTCTCCACTCCCTCCCTCCCTTCCATCTCTAAAAACCAATGAAAAAAATACCCTCGGGTGAGGATTTGAAGGAAAAAAGTCAGTCAGATGCCCGTGTTCTCTGAGAAATCCCACTGGAGAGACACCCAGGGAGCATAGAGGAAGAGGGAAGACCAGGCACTGGCTGGAGTTCCTGGGACCCAGACTTCGTAAAATGTCAGTCCTGGGAGGATCTGAGAATGGTCCGCTTATAGGAACATGGGGCCTGGGCGTGACAGGAAGTGGGAGTTGTGGAACAGCCAAAAACACTGCAAATTGGGAGTCAAGTCAGCTGGAGACATTGAGCTTTGGGGCTAAAAACAAGGAATTGAAGGGCACAGGAATTTGGGAAGGAGAGAATGAGAAGGCAATAGAGGCAAAAGAAGCCTTAAGAGGGATACAAGGAGTCCGTTTCTGAACCATCTGTAACCTCAGAAATCTTCATTTAGGAAGCAGAAGTATGCAACTGCAGAGAGATCTGAGCACCACAGAGAGCTGGGTGTGGGCTTGGGCTGGGGAAGGGGGTACCTGTGTGTGCCGTTGTCTCGCGCGGGGGGTGCGGGCCGGCCAGCTGGAGGCCCGTGCTGCCCCAGGCGCAGCCCCTGCACTTGGCCGAGCCCCAGGCTGCGGAGGAGCCTGGCCAGGCCGCCCGCGGTCAGCGTGCCGTTCTCCCCGTACAGGTCAAACAGCTGGGCCAGGTAGTGGTTCTGCTCCAGCTCCGCAGGGCCCAGGCTGGGGGCCGAGCCCCCTGCCCAGCTCAAGGCCACACACACGCACAAGCCAGCCAGCAGGTGACTCGTCGGGAGCCCCATGGTTGGGAGGAACTGGTCAGAGGCTCTGGTTCCAGCTTCTAGTCCCCCCGGAACATGCTGAGGACGGCGCCTGGAAGGACAAGGAGGAAGGTCGCTGCTCCTGCTCTGCTCTCGGCTCGGGGCCAGAGGGGACCCCTCTCCTCACTCAGCCCCACTCCAGCCTCCTTCCTCCCACCCCATTGCCTCCCGCAGGAGCAGCCTCTCCTCTCCTTTGCCAGTTCCTAGAACACCTTCTTTGACTCAAAGCGCTCCCCTCACCTGACCCAGAGCTGGCAGCCTACTCCCTGTCCCCTAAGCCTTGCCCCCGCTCTGCCCCCCAATCCCCAGAGGCTCGCCCCCACTGGTGGCAGAAGAGCCTCGTCACCTTAGGTCCCCGTCAGGCCTTGTGGGCACTAAGAGGCTCCTGAGCCAGTCGGGAGGGGAGCCAGAGGGCTCAGCCTCCAGGCTCCCAGGTGGAACAGAGGCCACGTCAGATGGAAGGCTGGGATGGACAAGCCCCCCCTCTTAGCCCACCTGCCTTGGGGCGGGGCAAGTGTGGGAAGGCTCACATGGTAGAGGAGTTAATGGTTCACTGGTCTCTTGGATGGGGTCAAAGGTCAGTCTCTGCTGGGGCCCCCAGTAGGGAGGGGCCACCCTCTGCCCCTGGAAGAGCCACATGGCTAAGGAGAATCTGGGCCTGGTCATTTCTCCGAAATACTCTACCCTCCAACCGGCCGGCACTCTGTGAGCCTTTCCCTGCACACGCTCTCCCCCACCTACCTCACATCTGGCTCTGGGCTTCGTGCATCGCCCCCCAGCCCCATTCCCCGGGCAAGTTGCACCCAGCTGTTCCCGAACTGGAGAGGAGGGTGAAGCAGCAGCTTAAGTGGCAGCCCACGTGCATGGGAAAGGCATTGTTTTTTGCAGTTCCCCACCCGAGGGAGCAAGTGCCAGGGCGCCGGAACCAGTGGCCGGGCGCGGGGCAGATCTGCTGGAGAGGGAGGAAGCACCTGCTCCCCTGTGATGTCTGACCTGGCTCAAAGTCAGGGGGCAGTCTGAGGGGGGCGATTGGCCCAAGGGGTCAAGGTTGGTATTACCTGAGAGCAGGAGACAGAAAGGACGCCCAGAGGAAGGGGGACACAGCCTTCTGGGTTCCAGCTGTGAGGGGGGATAGGCAGGCAGGCGGACAAGGGTCACCTGCAGGGAGGGGGCAGGGGAGGGACACTACCTTAAAGGGGCAGACCTGCTTTGCCCGGGCCTCCTTACCGGTAAGCTAGCTAGCTCCTCTCCACCTCCGAGGGCACTTCCCAAGTGCCCGGCTGCTCATCTTGTCGCTTCCCCACAAAAAAGCAAAGGAGTCTAGCACAGAGCAGTAACATTTATTGGGAAGAAGGGATTCAGTCAGATTTCCACATCACATATGTACAAGACACAGACCGTAACTCATCTCTAAAGGGAGGAGGGCAGGCAGGGCCCTGCGTCCCAGGGCACAGGCAGCTGCAGCTGGCCCCAGGGGTGAGTGTGGGGAAGGCCACTCCTCACCACCCCTGTAGTGAAGTTTAGTGGCTAAAATATCGCCACCGATTCCTTCCCACCGATTCCTTCCCACCGCCAAGCTAGCAGCCCAGGAGGGGCTGTGTCTCTAGCAGGCGCTCGGTTACGGTCGGTCAGTGGTGGGGAGAGAGGAAGACTGTCTTGCTATCTCTTGCTGCTTCTCCGGGTTTCTTTGCCGTTACTGACAGGGTTGTTGGAGGGGCCGGGAGGGCCGGCCGGGGCGTGGTTGGGCTGGCTCCGGGTGATCCGGGTGCTGGGGGGGTGGGAAGGAGTGTGCGGGGGGTGCGGGCCGCCACCAGGACCTGGCGGGGCGCTCAGTCCATTCCCGTTCTGGCTCTCAGAGGCTGTGGTGGGAGAAGGGGAAGAAACACAGAAATCAGAGAACCAAGGTCGGAGAGGGGGTATCCCCAGGGCTTCCCCCAAAGCCCAGGGGACAGCACAGCACTGAATCCAGCACAACTGCACATTCACGTCAACGGGGCCGAGTGCAAAGAATGTGGGTTGTACGAACGGAGCCCCAGGAAAGACTGTCAGGTTAGAAGCTGCTGCAGGAATTCCAGTATGATGTTTTTCTCTGTTACTCATCTTGGTATCACTGCGAGTCAGACCTAGAATTAGCTATTTAGTTCTAGGCTCAAACACCTCTGACGAAATGCCCCTGAACCAAAAGTGCCTGTGAAACTGGAAAAGCATGGCAAGGGGAAGGGCCTGACGTTTGTTATAAGAAGGATCTTTAAGAAAAACACACACAACACAATAAACCCCATGCTTGCTCTCCCCACAGAGCACACCCGACTGAATCTGCCCTTCTTTTGCCTCTGCTACTTGTTTCTTTTCTTTCTTTCTTTTTAAAAAATATATTTTATTGATTTTTTTTACAGAGAGGAAGAGAGATAGAGTTAGATACATCGATGAGAGAGAATCATTGATCAGCTGCCTCTTGCACACCCCCGACCAGAATCGAACCTGGGACCTTTCAGTCCGCAGGCTGATGCTCTATCCACTGAGCCAAATTGGTTTGGCTATTTGTTTCTTTAGCTCTTTCCTTCTGCAGCTCACTACTACCACTGTAACTTCCTAAATAAACTGTAACTTCCTAAATAAATGTGTGCACGCACAGAAGGTCCTTGGGTTACCACATGTTCCTACGACACAATGTAACATTTTCGCAGTAAGTCGGAACCCACCTACATAAGCACCCAGGTCACTCACATGGGGCACACACACAGCAGTAATGAAGTGACACAGTAAAAAAAATGTAAAAGAAAGGTAACCATTCCTGACCTTTACTTGTGGTAAATAAATAATAAGAAACATTTTGACGTATATATACATACTTCAAAATGATGGACTTTTTTTTTTTTTTTAAACAAATAAATGGGAAATGGAGACGTGACCACGAAACGAGGTATGTCAAGTCTGACGTAACCGAGGACTGGCCTGGTGTGTGTCACAATGACACACGTTCTCTTTGGAAAATACAGATAAGAATGAGGAAAAGCGCCCCAGCCAGTTTGGCTTGGTGGATAGAGCGTCAGCCTGCGGACCGAAGGGTCCCGGGTTCGATTCCAGCCAAGGGCACATGCCAGGGTCTCAAGCTCGATCCCAAGTGGGTGGTGTGCAGGAGGCAGCTGATCGATGATTCTCTCTCTCCCTCTCCCTTCCTCTCTGAAATCAATAAAAATATTTAAAAAATAATAATTTTGATTTTTTACAGAGAGAAAGGGAGAGGGATAGAGAGTTAGAAACATTGATGAGAGAGAATCATCGATCAGCTGCCTCTTGCACACCTCCTACTGGGTATGTGCCTACAACCAAGGTACATGCCCTTGACCGGAATGGAACCTGGGCCCTTTCAGTCGGCAGGCCAATGCTCTATCCACTTAGCCAAACTGGTTTCAGCAATAAAAATATTTTTTTAAAAAGAATAAGAAAAAACATTATTACACATTCTCTCACCCACCTCTCCCTGTGTGTGTGTGTGTGTGTGTGTGTGTGTGTGTACACATGTGCGAGATGACTTCCTGGTGCTCCTAAAGCTGTGCATATCACTATCATTGCACTCATGGTGTATTATAATCATCGTCTGTGTGACTATCTCCTTTTCCCCCCCCAAATATATTTTTATTGATTTTAGAGAAGAAGGAAGAGGAAGAGAGAGATAGAAACATCACTGGTGAGAAAGAATCACTGATCGGCTGCCTCCTGCACGCCCCATACTGGGGATTGAGCTCACAACCCAGGCATGTGCCCTGATTGGGAACTGAACAGAGACCTCCTGGTTTATAGATGACGTTCAACCACTGAGCTACACGAGCCAGGCAACCATCTCCTTCATAGACTACAAGCTCCTAAAGGCAGGTGCTGTTTTATTTATTCCTTGGCATCCCTCATCTGTAAGTTTGTTACATGAAGGCAGGTGTCTGCCTCTCACGTACTTAGGGCACTGTGAACGCTAATGGAGTAGAAGTTATAGGCTAGTGCTTTTCAGACCACATTCCTGTTGAACCCTACTTTACCAGACTAAGATATTATTAATATTATATAATGAAAAAATAATGTTCTTTCCTAGATTCACAGAAAACATTTGGAGAGTGTATTGAAAGTCAAAGGTAAGTTTTAAGGCCAGACATGCTTTTTGTTAAGCCTTTTGTATCGACTGGCAGAGGACAAAGTGGATAAACATCTGGCAAAGAATACCAGAGCTTACATGTACCATAATTAAAACGCTTTTATGGAGACTAGGAAATATGTAATAGTCATATTTTCAGTTAAAACCATGGATGTCCATGGATGTTAATTTCTGTGGTGGAATTAAACGTTGCTATTTCATAGGGTTTCTAAAAAACAACCCTGGTGGTTCTGACACAAACAATTCTGAAAAAAAACATGGTAACTGGGGATGCAGACGCAAACGGGGGAAGGGCTGAGGCAGCCTGAAGCCTCGTGTCACAGGGAGAAACCTGGTGCACGGATGGGAGACATGATAGAGCCGAACACTCGGAGAGCAGTGGGGTCAGCTGAGAGAGGATCCGGAGGGAGAACAGAGCAGTGAAAACCGGTCTCTGAGGAGAAGCCACCACCAGATGGAGGAGATGTGTTTGGGAATGATTCTAGCTAAACGCTGATGACGAGAAGCAGTAAGGTTTTTCACCACGGAGATTTGCAAAAGGACTGGGAGAACCCCAAAACGCAGGGGCCTGAAGTACATGAGATGGAAGCATCATCATCCCAGGCCTAGAAGGGCAGCAGGGCCCTCAGTTTCAGAAGCTGTGCAGAGTGTGCTCTGTGGTGAGTCATACAACAAGTGCTGTGTATTAGAACTGGGGACACATCAAAACGAGCAGGAGAAAAGGGCAGGGTCTGCCAGGCGAGGAGCGGAGAAGAACAAGCTGGGACGAAGGCGCTCAGTCTTTGTGGACAAACTGTTCACACGTTTGCCTTGGAGTGCTGGTAGCAAGAGCATACCGAGAGCTCCACCAGTCACAGAAACAGGTCCCCACCCAGACCTTTCCCCACGGGGGTGTGCAGGAGAACTGGGAGGAGCACTGGGTGTCAGGGGATAGAGAGAGAAGACAGGTTTGGGAGAGGGAGAAGGCAGGTAGGGAAGGAACAGGTTTACCTGGAGAAACAGCAGGGGGGCCGGTGGCAGGCTGGGGAGCTGCAGGGCTGCTGTCATTCTGCACCTGAAGGTACAAATTAAACTCAGACCTTTCTTCCTCCCAGGCTTCTCAGCCTGCCCTGCCCTGCCCGCCCCCAAGTCCTGGCCCTGGGACTCACCGCCTTGTTGGGTGCCTGCTGGGCGCTGTACTCAGGGTTGGGCTCACTGAAGTTAGGAACCTCAGAATAAACCATACAGAATCTGCAAGGAGAGAAAGTGGCCACCACTCCAGACCCCTCCCCTGGGCCAGTGCTGGAGGCCTCCCGGAGGTACAGCTAGAGGACGCGACTGCACGTGCTGCCTCACGCTGCCTTCTTGCAAACCTTAAATTTCCCCTCTTGGCCTGCTGCTTCTACATCCCCAAACCTAAGAGTACTTACTCTCCAATCTTCTGAAGATCACCCCCACGGCCAGTGTACAATGTCAGACAGCCTTTGAACACTGACGCGTACCTGTGGGGGAACATGCAGGATTCAGAGTACTCAGAAGGGAGTTCCGGGGACTGTTACCTCGCTGGCTGTTACTGCCCTGGGACAGCCAGCTGGCTTACCCTTTGGTGAGCCGGATGATGTCCCCAGGCTGGATCAGGTTGCCCACGTCGTCCCAGACGGAGATATTGATGCTGCCTGTTTTGTCTGCCACTTTGCAGGTCCGAACTTCGTGACCGTCCTTTGTCTTGGTCACTCGGCCTGGCGGGAACAGATAAACAGAGTGGGGCGTGTTCAGAAGGATGAGATCTAGAGATATTGACTAATTGGTGGGGTGAGGGAAAAGTACAAACAGGGCAAAGCTAAATCTCTGGGGCAGGCTGGGTACGGGGTAGGGAGTGGAGAAGCCTGCCATGGAGAGGGTGCTGAGTGGAAGGAGGCCCCTGTGACACTGGAGGCTTGGATCTGGCAAGAATGGCATAGACCAGGGCATCTCTCTGGGCTGGAGTCTAGGAGAGCGATTGGGCGTGCGTGAGCCACGTTTTGGGGTGCTCCCAGGAAGCAAATTAAGAACGGGGGTGATGTTCTTCCCTTTCTGCCCCCTCCCCAGCTCTGAGAACCCTCACAGAGGGTCCGCGGCCCCAGCATAGCCACCTGTCTCCAGCACAATGAAGATGAGGTTCAGGTTCTTGAGCCCAGGCTTGATATCCTTCACGAAGGTCTCCGTCGTCATGCTGCCTGAGCCTCCGAACCCCACTGGAAGGTGGAAAAAGGGATGAAGACTCATCGCTTGGAGCCTTCGCCCCCATGCTCCACTTCCCAAGGGCTACCTGCCACACTCGCCTGGAGTCAGGCAGCCTCAGCCCTCTATCTCTTCTAAAAGGTTAGAAATGAACTTTCCCGGGGGCCTCCAACTTCACGATCAGATTTTCGGGGGGGGGTGTCTCTGAATAGGCTGCTTGGGCGACGGAATGCCCCTTCCCGGGATGCTCTTTCAGTCTCCAGCCCCGAGGTGTGGGAACCGACGGAGAGGAGGGGAGGGAACCCGGGGCAGAGCCAGGGAATAGAATCTTGGTTCCTAAACCTTCCCGAACCCTCACCCGGACAACTCGGGACTCGGTCCGTCCCCTCCCCACCCCCACCCCAGCCCACCACCCACCAGGCTGACCGCAATGTACGCTGCCGAGCCGCCCGCAGGGGGAGCCACAGGCCCCCGCGGCCGCCGGATGCAGCTCGCTGGAACGCGGGAGTGCGGGCATTCCCGGAAGTTTCCCCTGGCCTCCTCCGACCAATGAGCGCCGCCCTGGCGCGCCCCATGCCCCGCCACTGGCCCCCGCCCAGCCAATCGGGACTCGAGATTCACGCGCCGGGAAGGGGGCGTGTTCTGGGTATTAAAGGAGCCTGGGAGCTGACGGGCTCCGCAGGGAGGAAAATAGACCACCAGGGGGCTCCTCGAGCTCCAGCGTTCCTAGGAGAGGACACTTAGGATCTGAGGTTTTGTTTCTCTCCCAGCCGTGACAGTGGAAAAAGGAGCCAGGGTTGTGGAATGCAGCGGACAAAAGACCGAAATCTGACCCAGCGCTTCACTTCTTTTTTTCTGACAATCATTAAACATGTAATTCCATTTTGCAGAAGAGCAAACGGGAATTATATAAAAAGCAGTGCCTAGCACACAGCAGGCAGTTTCCTCCACTTCTCCCACTGCTTTAACTCTCATCTTTATTCTTGATTTGGGGCCCTTCATTTTTAATGGACTTGGTCAGGGTGCCTAGGAAAAGTGGCATTCACACTACAGACAGTAGGTAGATTCGCCACCTTGAAAGAAATGGCACCTCGGGCAGAGAGTAAACTTTGCATCAGGTTCTCTCACAGTTTGAAAGGCACTTGTTCCTAATGCTATCTCACTCATCTCAGGGTCCCCCCAGTGACTGGAAAGAGGAGGCCCAAACCTTTAGTTTCCTTTGGAACTTATTAGATAATCAACAAAACGTAGTTAGCGCAGTAATGTGCACAAACCAATTACATACACTGAGTGGCCATATTATTATTATCTCTGAATGCATAATAATCTGGCCACTCAGTGTATATCCTATATAATAAAAGGCTAAATATGCAAACTGTCCCCTCGACCAGGAGTTCCACCAGCAGGCAGGCCAGGCAACCTGTCCCCTCCCCCTGGCCAGGCTGGCAGGACCCCATCCTTGCACAAATTCATGCACCTGGCTTCTAAAATACTCTCTCTCATGGCTAGGTAGCTCAGTTGGTCAGGGCAGTGGTTGACAAACTGCGGCTCTCAAGCCACATGTGGCTCTTTGGCCTCTTGAATGTGGCTCTTCCACAAAATACCATGGCATGGGAAAGTCTATTTTGAAGAAGTGGTGTTAAAAGTTTAAGTTTAAAAAAAAAAAAAAATTGGCTCTCAAAAGAAATTTCAGCCGAAACCGGTTTGGCTCCGTGGATAGAGCTTCGGCCTGCGGACTGAAAGGTCCCAGGTTAGATTGTACCTTGGTTGCAGACACATCTCCAGAAGGGGGTGTGCAAGAGGCAGCTGATCAATGATTCTCTCTCATCGATGTTTCTAACTCTCTATCCCTCTCTTACTCTCTGTAAAAAAATATTTTTTAAAAAAAAGAAATTTCAATCATTGTACTGTTGATATTTGGCTCTGTTGACTAATGAGTTTGCCGACCACTGGGTTAGGGCATTGACTTGATAAACGAAGGTTGAGAGTTCAATCCCAAGTCAGGGCACATACAAGAAGCAACCAATGAATGCATAAATAAGTGGAACAAATGGATGTTTCTCTCTGAAAAAAAAAAAAAAAAGATTTTAAAAACAAACCAACTACAAATGCATATACATACATTACCATTTGCTTAGCGAATATCCATAACAAACACTCTTTAATATCAGATTAGCCTAAGAGTTCACGTACTTGTAATGCCTTCGCTTGCTTAATTAATCCATTACTTTTTTTTAGAGAGCTTCAGGCTCCGCCTGGACTTTTCTCGGAGCTGGTTCTCTCCCGCCCACCTCCCAACCTTGGTGTGTGTCCTAAGGAAACCAACCACAGCCCAGGAAGAGGGGCATTTAATCTCCCTTCTCTCCCCTAAGGTGTTTTAGGAAGTTCTGCTAGTGTTCAGAGAGAGCCGACGTGGATGTGGCAGGAGTGCGGCCAGGCGAGAGCCTGGCACCCCGCCGGACACCCCAGATCAAAGCTCTGCGGCCAGACACTCCCCCCTTCCCCACCGCTCGGTCGGTCGCCCTGTTGACACAGTATCTGCTCCCATGACTATGAGTCACGGAGTCGGGAGCCTCTGAGAAGCCGATCAGGGCTCTGGGAGCAAGGGGGGCCCGGCAGACAGCAGCTGCCAACGCGAGGCCGGGGCTTCCGGCCATGGACACGTGCCCCCTCCAAAGCCAAGGCTCGCCCTCCGGGGCCGGCGGCCTCGGGACCCGCCCCGAGGGCCCCCCTGGGAAGCGCCTAGCGTTCCCCTCTCCAATGGCTGTCCAGTCCTCGCAGGGACGACCAGGACTTCCGGTCTGGAGCCGCGGCCCGGGAGCCCGCCTTCCGCTACGTCGGCCGCTCGCAGCGCCCTGTCTCCGTTTGAGTTAAAACAAAGGGGCGGGGCTTGGTGACGAGCTTCCGCCGGTTGCGTAGCAGCGGTGGGCGGGGCCAGGGGCCGTCTCTCCCCGCGGCGAGTGGTCGGAGCCTTCCTCCCTCTCCTTCCCTTCCCCGTCCCCTCCCAGGAACGGCCGGGACGCGGCGCCGGGGCTGTCCCGTGGCCGCGGCGGCCTCCGCTCCCGCCGGGCTGCGGTACGGAGAGGCCGGCCGCTTCCAGGGCGGTGCGTACTGCGCCTGCGCGGCTCCCTCACAGGCTGCGGGGAGGGGGGAGGGAGGGGGCGACGTCCCAGGGGCATCTGGACCGGGGTCCGAGATGGTGGAGGTCGTGGTTGGGGATGGGAGTCCAGAGGAAAAATGGAGTCAGGGAGGAGTCGGGAGGTGAGACGGGGGCGCGGGAGGGTGGGTGGTGGGGAGGTCTAGCGGAGCCGGGAGAGGTGCGGGAGGGGGCCTGGGCGGGCCGGAGGACCGGGAGGAGGGGATGTGGGGGAGCAACGTGGTGTTTAAATGGGCGATGATTGACGGGCCGGGAGGAGAAGGGAGCGTTCTGGGGGCCAGCCAGGGCCGGGGCGGCGGAACCTGAACCCCCGCCCTCGGAGCGCCATAGTTTGGCTGGTCTCCCGCGCCTTGTCTCTGGCAGCCTCGTCTTTCTCCTTCATTCCTTCCCCCCTCGCCGCCCCCCCTCCTGCACGGAGGAATCTCGCATTCCTTACATCCCTGGCCTGGGCTTTTGGCCCAGCCCTCTTCTCTGGCTTCACACACCGGAAAGCCTCCCCCAGCGTCGGGCACGGGGGAGATGGAGGATGGGGAGGAGGGAGCTGCAGGAGGAGCACAAAGCTGGGGGGCGGGGGGGCGGGGGTGTTTGCCTGAGGGACTGAAAGTCACCGTCCGTCCCCATCCAGAAACGGGCCCCGTCCCGCCTCATAGCCAATGTGGCTGTTGATGTGCACGGTTCTCGGAGGCCGGGCTGTGATAGGAGAGCCGCATCCCTTCCTATACAGGTGGTTTTAGAATCCGACAATAGGGGAGAAGCAGAAACTGCTCCGCTTCCTGGCTGGTCGTTTTCTCCCAAATAGGAATGGAGTTGACTGGTGGTGGGGAATCTGAGTGATGCAATACTGTTACTACCCTGTGTGTCCAGCTGACTTTGTGGCTGGGCCTGGTTTCCCGTAATTGAAAAGAAGAAAAAAGCTGCTTTTCCAGCATTTCCTCACTAGTCCTCACACTCTAAATTTAGTTTGCATTCTGTTGCTACAAGAGCCTTACCCGAGGATAGCAGTGTTTAGTGTGCGTTCACATTTATTATGTCGTTTGATTTTTCATGGAAGGTAGGTGAGGCAGGTCATCGTTTAACCTACTTGACAGAAGGGTTACGTGGCTTGGCTAAAAGTCGTACAGTTGGCAAAGCTGGGACCAGAACCTCAGTCTCCTGACTCCTGGCCCTCCTCTCAGTTGAAAAATCCCATTTTGTTCTGGCCAAGGGAGAATCAAAGTAGGATTGATTTTCCCAGCATGGGCAACTATTTGCTTTCTGAGACTAGAACTTGTCACTAGAAGACTGAGCAGAGCCGACCACACTGGTTCCTGGCAGAATATCATTTACATAATTTATTTTTTTAAACAGAGGAATGGAGAAGGATAGAGAGTTAGAAACATCAATGAGAAACACCAATCAGCTGCCTCCTGCACACCTACTGGGGATGTGCCCACAACCCAGGTATATGCCCTTGACCGGAATTGAACCTGGGACCCTTCAGTTCGCAGGCCGATGCTCCATCCACTGAGCCAAACCAGTTAGGGCATGGCAGCATTTCTTGAGGTACAGGGGCATATGCCAGACTGGGGAATAAGGTATTGTCAAAAGGGAAGAGCATTATACTCCCTGTATTGTGGATGGCAGAAACGTATCAATTTACCCCACCCCCAACACAGAGGAGAGAAAGTGTGGTCTGGCGTTTCATCTTTATCTCTTAACATAAAAACTAATGAGTATGTGTACCAGACTTAGAAGATGAAATGCCCCCCCCTTTTTTTAAAAATATATTTTATTGATTTTTTACAAAGAGGAAGGGAGAGAAATAGAGGGCTAGAAACATCGATGAGAGAGAAACATCGACCAGCTGCCTCTTGCACACCCCCTACCGGGGATGTGCCCACAACCAATGTACATGACCCTGACCGGAATCGAACCTGGGACTTTTCAGTACGCAGACTGACACTCTACCGCTGAGCCAAACCGGCTTTGGCAAAATGGCCCTCTTTTTATGTATAAAAATCATCGTCTTATTCCTTTTTAACACAGCTCTTAACCTCATGATGGTGAGGAAAGCAGTTTGAATGGTTGATATTCTCCTGCACAGTGTTGAATAGCTCTCAGTGTCATTCATTTGAAACCTGGTCTCCCTCTACTTGGTTTCACAATTTTATTTTATTTTTTATATTTTAAATATATTTCTTTATTGATTTCAGAAAGGAAGGGAGAGAGACAGAAACATCACTGATGAGAGAGAATCACTGATCCTCTGCTTCCTTCATGCCCCCTACTGGGGATCGAGCCCACAGACTGGACATGTGCCCTTGGCCGGAATCGAATCCCGGACCCTTCAGTTTTCAGGCCGACGCTCTATCCACTGAGCCAAACCAGCTAGGGCTGGTTTCATCATTTTAGCAACAGGTATCTGGTCAAGCCTAACCAGACTGCTATCTCTACTCTTCCCAGTTGCCCACCCTGGGGTAATTTCCCAATTCACTGCTTCTATATTTTTAAAAAGTCTGATCCCTTCAGGAGTACATTCTTGCTTGGAAAGTTGAAATGCATCCGTACCAACATTCATGAGTATCTTCATCTTATGAAATAGTTCTTTCCAACTGGAGGATAAACCAGAATTCTTTTTATATGAAATAATTTATGTGAAAGCACTTTGGAAACATGAACGCATCATACTGTGAGCGTAAGTACCATGGATCTAGGCATTATATAGCTACAAATTTATAATTATTGACGTTACTGGTAGCTGTGTACACAAATTAAAGAATCCTTGTTGCCCTGGTTGGCATTGCTCGCAGGTTCTATTCCCACTCTCACACCGATGTTCCTCTGTCTTTTTCTTCCCCACACCTCCCACTCTAAAAATCAGTGGAGCCAGCCAGTGTTGCTCAGTGGTTGGGCATTGACCCATGAACCAGGAGGTTGCAGTTTGATTTCCAGTCAAGGCACATGCCAGGATTGTAGACTCGATGCCAGTAGGGGGTGTGCAGGAGTCAGCTAATCAATGATTTGCATCATTGATTTTCTTCCTCTCCCTGCCTCTCTCTGAAATCATTTTTTTTTTTTTTTAAATCAATGGCATAACCGGTTTGGCTCAGTGGACAGAGTGTCGGTCTGCAGACTCAAGGGTCCCAGGTTTGATTCCAGTCAAGGGCATGTACCCTGGCAGTTGACGGATGTTTCTAACTTTCTATCCTTCTCCCTTCTCTGTAAAAAAATCAATAAAATATATATTTTTTTAAATCAATGGAAAAAATGTCCTCGGGTGAGGATTAACAAACAAAAAGAATCTATCTACTTCACATTTCTCCCCTTTTCTACCTTTCTTGTCCCTTTGTTTCCCCCTCTCATGTATGTTAGAATCTCTTGGACCATGCATGTGATTCCTTAGCTAATGACCTTGCTCCTTAGGGGAGTCCTATATGCTTAGCACAGAAACCTTAATAGACTTGTCTCTTGCTCCACACCCAACCACTGGATCCAAGTCTGTCCAGTCTTGCTGCCAAGTGGAGGTAGTTCCCCTGACTCACCTTTTTCTTCCTTGTTTCTATTAATAGAGTGCTCCTGATTGTGACATCACATCCATCCCTTGGTGATGGAGCTTATCACTGAGAAGGAAGCTTCAGTTGGAGAATAGCCAACAAGATGGACTCCTGGGGGTGTCTCCTGAGTGGCACTGAGCGGAGGCGTCAGGGGGTTGGAGCCTTGTGAACAGGGAGCCTGTCCCCCAACACTTGGAAGGTAAAGAGCCTTGATTTAGAGTCTCATTCCAGGCCTCCGCCCTCTTCTCTGTGTCTGGGTTGCTTCTGCTTAAGGGGCCTTTCCCTTGTGTGTCCGGTGGTTTATAGTAATTGGGGCTCGAGACTCCTCAGTCTTCTGCACATTTGTTGTAGTCAGGGCAGAGAGAAAAATTAGCAGAAGGAAGCCTATAGCACATACACCTGGCTTTTACCCTATGCTTTTGCCAAGAATTGGTGACAGCATGCCCAGTCACCCTAAAATACTAAGGTCTCTTATGTAATGTTTCTCTTGAGTGAGGGTGTGTGTGTGTGTGTGTGTGTGTGTGTGTGTGTGTGTCAGAGTGCATGGTGTGCATACCTGTACATGGGTTCAAGAAACCCTGTATGAGGGATGATAAATGTTCATGTTTCTTTAGGAACAAACTTTTTCTTTTTTAAAATATATTTTATTAATTTTTTACAGAGATGAAGGGAGAGAGATAGAGAGTTAGAAGCATCGATGAGCCGAAACCGGTTTGGCTCAGTGGTAGAGCGTCGGTCTGTGGACTGAAAGGTCCCAGGTTTGATTCCGGTCAAGGGCATGTACATTGGTTGCAGGCACATCCCCAGTAGGGGGTGTGCAGAAGGCAGCTGGTCGATGTCTCTCACTCATTGACATTTCTAGCTCTCTATCTCTCTTCCTCTCTGTAAAAAATCAATAAAATATATTTAAAAAAAAAGAAAAAGAAAAGAAGCATCGATGAGAGAGTGTTATTGATCAGCTGCCTCCTGCACGCCCCTACTGGGGACGTGTCTGCAACCAAAGTACATGCCGTTGACCAGGAATCGAACCCCGGGACCTTTCAGTTCGCAGGCTGATGCTCTATCCACTGAGCCAACCGTTTTTGGCAGGAACAGACTTTCTTGAATTCCTAGCTCTGTAGGGGTAGACCAGAGAAAACAACTGTAGCAATAAGTTAAAAGGGTATAGGAAGGGGTCTCTTGTATTTTTATTGTTAACTACGGTGTTTCCCCGAAAATAAGATATCCTCCGAAAATAAGACCTAGCGCATGGAAAGATAAGACATCCCCTGAAAATAAGACCTAGCGCACCTTTCGGGGAAGCAGGGCAGTAGCCCTGTGCGTGAGTCCGTGTGCCAGAAGCTCTGCAGTGCCTGGCCGCTCCGTGCCTGCCGCCCAGAGGCTCTCCGCAGGCCAGAGGCCCTCTGTGGCTGGGCATGGGACGCTTGCCTTGTCACCACGGCAACGAAGCAAGCATTTCATCAGGCCACTCATGCTGCCTGCCACCATTGGCCGCCCTCCCGGGACTGGGGACACTGGCAGGGCTGAGAGGACTGGGCGCCGCCATCTTTGTGACCAAGTGGTGGTTAATTTGCATATTACCCTTTTATTAGATAGGATGCTGACTAGGAATAGAGAGAGAGGAAGAGAGAGAGATCCAGTGTCACGGTGAGGAAGGAAAGTAGCACAATTAACCTGGTTCGGTTCTGGCCTGTAGAATAGGAGATGGGGAAATGCAGTTTTGTTTGTTTGTTTGTTAATCCTCACCTGAGGATATTTCTTCATTAATTTTTTTTTAAATTAGATTATTATCTGTGTACGTATTTTAACATTGCCCCCCCCCTCATTAATTCTTTTAAGAGAGAGTGAAAGGGGGGGAGGAGAGAGAGAAACATCGATGTGAGAGAGACACAGTGACTGGTAGCCTCCCACACACACTCCAACAAGGGCCAGGGCTTAAGCCTGCAGCTGAGGTACATGCCCTTGACTGGAACTGGATTTGAACTTCAGTCCAACATTCCACTGAGCCAAACTGGCTAAGGCAGGAATGCAGTTTTCAGTTTGGTTTAAGATGTTTAAATCAGGGAGGCTGGCAGAACTCCTACAATTCTGAAGGGACCTCAGCGCTACTTTAGTTCAGCTCCCAAGTTCAGTGAATCCTTTTCCTATTCCACAGCTCAAAGAGAATCCTGAGGAAGCTGCTTCCGTGGCTGTGGTCACTGGCTGTGACAGTTTTATTAAGGCTCCTGCCCCCAGGGCGGAGAGCAGTGAGTTCTTGTGAGGCATCCCCCTGGGGGTGATATCCTGCCCCTGAGGATGACACAGCTGTGTGGAGAGGCCCAGAGAGCAGAGGAATAGTTAAGGCAGAATCTAGGTTATCAGCTTGACTATCAGCAGGGCAGGGCAAGCAGCTGGCTTCCAAGGTTGTTTAGATCCATGTCAACATTTGTTTCCCATAGATGATAAACCTAATCATATTGGAAATCTAAATGGCCCCTTAACTTGAGGCAGTGCCACTGAAAGAATGCCTTTATTAGAGGGTACATAAAACAGGTGACTACGAAGTAGATAATGGTGGGGGGAGGGCCAGGGTAGCGTGTTTGATTTAGAAAGAGCAACGCCCAGCATCTGTGAGCCCCGACTTTATGGTGAGAATCTTGCAGCTCCTCACCCTGGCTGGTGGTATCCCACATCCTCGGCCATCTCTGCACCAACTGAGACAAGTTCTTCACTGTTTATTTTGGGGATATGGGATCTCCTGAGGCCCCATTAAGAAAGGTTTTTAGAATTTATATTCCTCCTTAAGACTATTATCAGTATTGACTTAAAATGAAAAGTTCAGTAAAGCGCAGTATAAACTCTAGGACAATTTTCTGCATAACAAATGTAATGTTATTTTAATTTTTACCCCTTGCTCTAAAGATAACAGATTTTTTAAAAAAATTAAACCTTGCAGAAATATATAACCTAGATTGAAAGTATAATCTTAGCATATGTAATATGTACACTACATATATTTATTTTTCTTTTTAAATTTGTTTTTGTAAAAATGGGATCCTAGTATACATATTGTTTTTGCAACTTGCATTTTTCAGTTTGAGAGGCAGATCAGCAAAGTGGTTAAAAGCTTGAGCTCCAGAGCCCAGCTGCCTAGGTTTGAATCTGGCTGAACTGCTTGCTAGCTGTATGATTTTGGACAAGTGTTTGTTTGTTTGTTTGTTTTTGTTTTTTTAAGATTTTTCCATTGATTTCCAGGAAGAGGAGGAGAAGGAGAGAGGGGAAAAAAACATGGATGTGAAAGTGAACGGCCAGGCTAGCATGGCTAAGTTGGTTGAACATTGCCCCATGTACTAAGAGGTCACTGGTTTCATTCCCGATCAGGGCGCATGCTGGGGTTGCAGGCTCAATCCTCACTGTGGGCATGTAGGAGGCAGCTGGTGGGTGTTTCTATCTCTCTCTTTCTCTCCCTTCCTCTCTATAAAAAAACAATAAAAACATTTTAAAAACAAAAAGGAAAACCTCCATTGGCTACCTCCTACCTGCCCCCCTCCAGGTACCAAGCTGGCAACCTGGGCATGTGCCTGTGCCCTCTGGGAATCAACCTCTTGGCCTGGGACAAGGCTAATCAACTAGGCCATACTGGCCGGGACTGAACAAGTTTTAACCTTTGTGTTGTGCATCTGTTATTCAGGTGTAAAATATGGGTAATGACAGTCTTTACCTCATAGAGTAACTCATGCAATTGTAAGAATTAGATGAATTAATATAGGAGAAATGCTTAGTGCTCACTTTGGCAGCACATACACTAAAATGGGAACGATACTGAGAAGATTAGCATGGCCGCTGCATGAGGATGACATGCAAATTCGTGCAGCAGTCCATATTAAAACAAAAAAAATGCTTAGGATAGTCCTTAGCATGTAATATTGCTCAATAAATGTTGACTTCATTATTTAATTGTATAAGCAAAACATGATAATTGTTGGAAAAGTAGGGCAAACATATAAAAACTAAGAGTGAACTTCAAAGTATTAAAAATCTACATTTAGCCCTGTCCAGTTTGGCTCAGTGGATAGAGCATCGGCCTGAGGACTCAAGGTTCCCAGGTTCGATTCCAGTCAAGCTCATGTACCTTGGTTATGGGCACATCCCCAGAAGGAGGTGTGCAGGAGGCAGCTGATTGATGTTTCTCTCTCATTGATGCTTCTGGCTCTCCCTTCCTCTCTGTAAAAAAATCAATAAAATACATATAAAAAAAAGTCTACATTTAGAGACAGTTTCTCTAATATATATTCTAGATGTTCTCCAACATATATATGATAAATGTGTATACACAAAAATATAAACATACTTTTTTTTATTGTTAACACTATTACAGGTATCCCCCATTTTCTCCCGTTTTGAGCTCTCTCCATCCAGCCCCACCCCCAGGTCTTCACATCATTGTTCTGTATCTATGGGCTACACACAGATGTTCTTTAATTTTTTCCAGTCCTCCTATAAAACTTATAAAAATACTAGTAGCCCTGCCAGGACCGGTTTGGCTCAATGGATAGAGCGTCGGCTTGGGGACTGAAGGGTCCCGAGTTCGATTCCGGTCAAGGGCATGTACCTTGGTTGCGGGCACATCCCCAGTAGGGGGTGTGCAAGAGGCAGCTGATCAATGACTCTCTCTCATTGATGTTTCTAACTCTCTATCTCTCTCCCTTCCTCTCTGTATAAAATCAATAAAAAATATATTTAAAAAAAAAATACTAGTAGCCCTGTGCATGAATCCATGCACCACTAGTTCTCCAATGTCCTCCTGTAATTCTCCCCCCATGCCTCTCAGGTCCCTTCCCCCCCTCATAGCTTGCTGCCCTGCCCCCTCCTGTAGCTCTCCACTGCTCACTTATAGTTTGCTACCCCACCCTCCTGCAGATCCATGATCCGCTTCACTGTCAGTTGTTATGCCTTACGGCATAATGAATAATTAGCATATTCCTCTCTTATTATATAGGAGGATATTTTATCTAATAAGAGCATAATATCCATAATATGCAAGTTGACCATACCTCTGTTATACCCATAAGCCATGCCCACCAGCCAGGGTAAGTATGCAAATTAACCCCAACCATTATGGCTGTGGCCACAGAGAGCAGGAGGCAGGCTTTGGTTTCTCTGGCAATGGAAGAAGCCAAGCTTTCCACCTGCCCTAGTGGGCCTAAGCCTCCACTCAAGGCTATAAAGTTTCAATTATAGAAGGTAAACAAATCCAGACAGAAATGGTGGCAGCCATGGAGCAAGCAGGAGGCTTGGCTCTGCTCCAAGCTACAAAGTTTCAATTTAGAAGGTAAATAAATTCCAGATACTAGGGCCTCCACTTGGGTCGCCAGTGGGCATGGCTGGCCCCTCGCTCAGGCAGCCCCACGCCCCAGGGGAACCCCCACCCTGATCCGGGACATCCTTCAGGGAAAACCAGCTGGCCCACACCCGTGCACCAGGCCTCTATCCTATCTAATAAAAGAGTAATATGCAGATTGACCATCACTCCAAAACATAAGATGGCTGCCCCCATGTGGTCAAAGATCCTGCCTCCATATGGACACAAGATGGCCACCACAAGATGCCCAGAAGGGGAGAACAGTTGGGAGGGACCAGGCCTGCAAGTGAGGGCAGTTGTGGGTGATCACACCTAACCTGGGCATGTGCCCTGACAAGGAATTACAGAATTGAACTGAAGATTTCTTGGTGCATGGGATGATGCTCAACCAACTGAGCCACACTGTCCTGAGCCACACTATCTTACACTAGCCAGTTTTGCTCAGTGAATAGAGTGTAGGCCTGCAGACTGAATGATTCCAGGTTCAGTTCCACTCAAGGGCACATACCAGGGTTGTGGACTTGATCCCCCAAAGGGGGGACATGCAGGAGGCAGCTAATAAATTATTATCTCTCATCATTGATCTTTCTATCACTCCCTCTCCCTTCCTCTTTGAAATTATAAAAATATTTTTAAAATAAAGTAAAACCTATCTGGGTCTCTCTTTGTACCATCTTCCCTTTCCTGCTTTAGAGGTGTCCCTCTTTCTATTTAACATAGTCCAAATCACCTCCCTACTTACCACTACCACAGTGACCAGATTCTCTCTCGTATTTACCTTCCTCTCAATATATAAATATGCTCAAACCTCTTACCGCAAGAAAAACATCCCCTGGCCTGGCCAGGTGACCCAGTCAGTTGGAGCGGCATCCCATATACCAAAATGTTGCAGGTTTGATTCCAATCAGGGCACATACCTAGGGTGTAAATGGCAACCAATGTTTCTCTCTTCACATTAGTCAGTCTCTCTCTCTTTCTCCCCCTTCCTCTGTCTCTAAAATCAATAAAAACATGTCCTCAGCTAAAGATGGAAAAACAACACCCCAACACAACCCACTTCCTCAACCTGTCTTCCTCTAGTGATTTCTCTTTCCTTTCCTTTGAAATGAAGCTTTTTGATTAGTTATCTTCAGTTCCCGTCTCTGTCTCACCTCTTGTTCACTTTGAACCACTGCAGTCTGGCTTCCACTTCAAATAGCCAGGCTTAGGTGGGTGACAGTGATGATTTCAGAGGGATCATCAGTAAGCACAAGGCCCTGAACTTGAAGGCCCTAGCGATGAAGGAACAAGTATAGAGAGAAATGATAGTCATGGAGGTCTGTACTTGTAGCAGTGCCAGGGGGTATCATTGTTCCTATATAAAATGGATCAAGAAAAATAAGTGGTTCCAAAGAGATCCTTGTGATTTATTGTATCTATATGCTTGTGTATTAATCAGGATTTTTATCAGTTGAAAGAGACAAAAACCCAGCTCAAACCAGCCTAAGGATAATAGAGAATATTTTGGTTTATGTAACTGATGTTGAAAAGCTGGTTGTGGCTTTACACATGGCTGAATCCAGCACCTCAATAATCTCTGAATTCAACCTCAGCTTTACTGTCTTATTGGCTTTATGTCCTCATTCATGGCAGAGATGGTTGCCAGCAGCTCTGAGTTGTATGTCCACTGGCTGTGCAATCCCAGGGGAAAGCTTCCCTGGAGAGCTTCAGGAGAGGCCCTGTACCCCCAATCCGTTGTCCCGGTGTGGTTCACATGGCCACTAGGAACTAGGGGGTGGTTCCTAAAGGAAACTGGAAAGTAAGATGTTCTGTGGGTAAAAATATTATAGAAGTTCACTATACCCTGATTGCTGGGAATCTCCCAGTTAAAGGTAACATTGAAATATACCAAACGAGGAACTGCTTGGTGCTACATTGAATGCAGAATATGAGTTTCTGCTCTTAGGAATTTTTTCAAGTAGTAGAAATTAGATGCATACACAAATAATGGTTATTATCATACATTGAGTATCTACTGTGTGCTAGGAGGCACTTTGCTAAATGTTTAATATGCATTATCTCTGTGAGAGTCACTATTTTAATTTTATTTTTTTAAACAGAACCTAAGTTTTTATTTTTTTAATTTTATTTTATTGATTTTTTAGAGAGGAAGAGAGAGGGATAGAGAGTTAGAAACATCGATGAGAGAGAATCATTGATCAGCTGCCTCTTGCACATCCCCTACTGGCGATATGCCCGCAACCAAGGTACATGCCCTTGACCAGAATCAAACCCAGGACCCTTCAGTCTGCAGGCCGACGCTCTATCCATTGAGCTAAACCGGTTTCAGCCGTGAGAGTCACTTCTATTATTATTTACTAGAGGCCTGGTACGTCGAATTTGTGCATGGAGGATAGGGCTTGGCCTGCACCCTCTCCTATCTGGGACCCCTGAGGGAATGTCTGACTGCCGGTTTAGGCCCAATCCTGTGGGATAGGGCCTAAACCGGCAGTCAGACATCTCTCTGCCTTCCAGCCTGATAGCCCCTAACTGCCCTCCCCTGCCGGCCTGATCACTCATAACCGCCTCTGCCTCAGCCCCCTCCACCGTGGCTTTGTCCAGAAGAAAGGCAGGACAACTGGAAGATGTCTGGTTGACCGGGTCTAATTACCTTTTGTTGGTATAGATATCCATTTTATCTATTTATAAAAAACTACTTAGGCTTCAGAAGTTTATGTGGTCTGCCCAAGGTCACACAGCTAATGAATGAGTAGTAGAACTGGCACATTCTCAGTTCTGACTCAGTCCAGTGCTGCACTTTAGCTTATACTTGACCTAGCAAGGTCTCTTTGGATTCATCCCTCCCCTACCTTTTTTTTTTTTTTTTTTTTTTAAATACATTTTATTGATTTTACACAGAGAGGAATTGAGAGCGACAGAGAGTTAGAAATGTCGATGAGAGAGAAACATTGACCAGCTGCCTCTTGCACACCCCCCACTGGGGATGTGCCTGCAACCAAGGTACATGCCCCTGACTGGAATCGAACCCGGGACCTTTCAGTCCCCAGGCCGACGCTCTATCCACTGAGCCAAACCGGTCCCGGCCCTCCCCTACCTTTTCAAAAATTGGACAGCATGCCAGGCCAGAGTGGCTCAGCAGTTGAGCATTGACCCAGGAACCAAGAGGTTGCCAGTTTGATTCCTAGTCAGGACACAAGCCCAGGTTGCTTCCTTGATTGATGATGTTCCTCTCACATCAATATTTCTATCTCTCTATACCTCTCCCTTTCTCTCAATAAAAATATATTTTTAGCCGAAACCAGTTTCTCTCTCATCAATGTTTCTAACTCTCTATTCCTCTCCCTCTCTGTAAAAAAAAATCAGTTTAAAAAAAAAAAAAAAATATATATATATATATATATATATATATATATTTTTTTTTTTTTTTTTTAATTAGCTTGATTCTGAATTTCTGAAAACAATCTGATCTTTCAGCTTATCTTTTCCAAGACATCACTGTTGATGGTGGGTCTGTGGAATGGCGCTCTCATACCCAGCTAGCTGTCTCCAGGGAGAACCAGTCACCGTTCAGGACCTCTTTGGGTCTGACCCTTAGGAGCCACAGAGCAGGCCCAGCAGCCTCCCTGCTCTGGAGCCCTCGCTCTCGAACCGCCATCCTTTACTCCATGCCGCCATCTACGTTCAGATTCTCATCTCCGCCTGGACGGCCTTCCTGTCTCCAATCTCACCTGTGTCAACAGAGTGATTCTTTTAGCCACTCATTCCTTTTAAGTCTTTCAGTGGCTTTCGTGGCCTGGATGAAGTCCAATTCTTTGTAGGAGGGCCTGACCCTTACTTAACTTCCAGCCTTGTAGCCAGACAGCACATCCTTCAGGCCAGCCTTTCTCCAGACCACTTAGCGCTCCCTGAACTCTCATCTGCCCTCTCACCCCTGGGCCTTTGAATGGGGCTGAAACCCTAATGCCTGTGCTGCCCGCATCTCCTCGCCTAGCTAACTCGTTTGTCCTGGTGGTGACACTTAGTCCTAGAAAAGTCCTCAAAATCACCCTCTCCCCTAAGCCTAGGTTAGGTATCTATTACGTCTCTTGCCCTTGTAACCTTACAATGCCTTACTCTGTCAAAGCATTTATCACTTAGAAAAGTTTTTTTTTATAGATTTCAGAGAGAAAGGGAGAGAGAGAGATGGAAATATAAATGATGAGAGAGAATCACCAATTGGCTACCTCCTGCATGCCCCCCCACTGAGAATTGAGCCTGCAATCTGGTCATGTGCCCTGATCAGGAATCAAACTGTGACCTCTTAGCCGAAACCAGTTTGGCTCAGTGGATAGAGCGACGGTCTGCGGACTGAAGGGTCCCAGGTTCAGTTCGGTCAAGGGCATATACATTGGTTGCGGGCACATCCCCGTTGGGGGGTGTGCAGGAGGCAGCTGGTCGTTGTATCTCTCTCATCTATGTTTCTAGCTATCCCTCTCCCTTTCTCTCTCTGAAAAATCAATAAAATATATTTTAAAAAAACAAACAAAACAAAACTGTGACCTCTTGGTTCATAGGTCAACGCTGAACCAGAGAGCCACACCGGCCGGGCTCACTTCATATTTTAAATGTACGCTGTATATCTTAACTCGTTAGAGTTACATTTCTTGATCTGCTTCCCCCACCTCCTCAAAAAAAAAAAAAATGACTGGCATATAATAGGCCCTTAATAAATAATTGTTGGGCCCTAGCTGGTTTGGTTCAGTGGATAGAGCATTGGCCTGCAGACTGAAGGGTCCCAGGTTCAATTCTATCGATAGTCAAGGGCACATGCCTGTGCAGGCTTGAAACCCAGGGGGAGTGCAGGAAGCAGCCAATCAATGATTCTCTTTCATCGTTGATGTTTCCATTCTCTCTCGCTCTCTCTTTCTGAAATAAATAAAAATACACATTTTTAAAAATAATAATTCTTGGACAAATGAATGGATCTTAGCAACGAGTTCAAGTTGGTACTTGTTTGTAGGCTTCTTCTGAACCTGCTTCTTTTTCCTCTGGTTCCTTCCAGGGCCTGGGTTTCAGTGATGAGACATGGGGTATGATGTAACCCGCTTCCAGGGGGATGTTGACGAAGATCTTATCTGTCCTATTTGCAGTGGAGTCTTGGAGGAGCCAGTCCAGGTGAGTCCGTCTGCTGGCAGATGCAGTGAGGCAAGAGATGGCAATGGAGCTCATGGAAAGTAGTCATAGGTCATGGTCATGGGACCAATAGGGGGGGCACTGTGCTGTGACGCCCCAGTTCCTCTCTCCCCGCTTGGGGCAGAAGAGGAACAGGTCCTTCCAGAGGGCCGGGCTCCCAGTTTTCCCCCCAGGTCGCTCTGAGATTTTTCTGCTGTGAAATGGTCAGTTTTTTGTTTTTGTCTTTTGACAGTGGCTTAGAACTTCCTTTGCTCTGCAGGGGCTCTGACTAGGTTCTGTCTTCCAACCCGTGATTAAACCTCTGGACTCTCCGGATAAGTTCTCTCTGCATTTTGATCTGTGTAGTGTTTTGGGTAATTGGCCAGTTTCCCTACAGGCCCCGCCTACTGTTGAACAAATGGGAAGTGGGAAACAGTGTGTACTGACCTATTTTCTTCCTGGGATTTGTTGGAAAAACCAGTTTCTGATGCAGCCGTGTACTCTGCATTTGATATGAAAGCTGCCATCTTCAGTAGGTCATTTCTCTACCAGCCCTGCCAGACCAGAGTCAGTTGTATCTTCCTGGGGCAAGTATGAGGAGAACCTCATGACCAACAGGCAAGTATAATGAGTGAGATGAGTCTTAACAGTTGTATTCCTGGGACATCATCCTGCATGGCCCTTACTGCCTGAACTCTGTAAATACCAATTAATCCTCTGCCATCCTAGCTAGGATCATCCCTTTTTCCAAACCAGGACACTTATCAGGGACGTCTCACGGCCCTCCCCCCCTCACTGTCACAGCTCACTACCTCCCAGCTTTCTTCATCCTTTGCGGTCACTCTTACTCCAGTTTCCAACCACCAAAGGAGCACAGAGCCGGATGAGTCCGTTTCTACTCCAGCGGCAGCCAGCCCTGGACTCTCCCTGACTTCAGGCCTTTGTAGCTCACTGCTACTGGAGGCAGGTTGACTGGTGTGGAGCAAGCTATCCTGATGGTGTCAGAGGTCCTGGGTGTGTCAGTTCCCTCTCCCGCGGGGCAGGCCCTGGTCTGTTTTCTGGCTCTGTCAGAGCTGAGACACGTGGAGAGGTCATGGGCAGTGGTTTAGTATAGATTCTATCTTCAGAGCCAGAGCAATCATTTAAAATTACAGACTGGATCATATCACTCCCCTGCTTACCTTTACAGTGGCATCCCATTGTACTGAAATAAATCCAGACACCTACTCCCAGCCTTCAGGGTTTACCTTCAGGAGGGCAGACCGCGTGATGCCAGGTGACCAGCCACATTTCCAAGGGTAGGAGGCCCCTGCTAGGGATGCTGATCTCCCTATATCATGGTGGTTTATTTTTTGAATGGGTAACACATTCACATGGTTTAGAAATCAAAACAGTAAGAAAAGATATACAGGGCCCTGACTGGGTAGCTCAGTTGGTTAGAGCATTGTCCCAATAAGCCAAGGTTGTGGGTTGGATCCCCGACCAGGGCACATATAAGAATCAACCATGAATGCATAAATAAGTGGAACAACAAATGGATGTTTTTCTTCCTCCCGCCTCTCTCTCCCCGCCTTCCTTTCTCTCTCAAATCACTTTTTTTAAAAGAAAAATTTTAAATTGTGTGCAGTGCAAACTCTTGCATCCCTGGCCTATCTACCTAATCCCCCTTTTGATATCTATTAGTTTAATATCCTGCCAGTATGTATGAGGGCAGTTATATGTTTGCCCACCTTTCTTACATCAAAGTAGTACATTCTGTATATTTCTGCAAGGGTGGCAGGTTTAGTTAAGATCACAAAAGATGACAGTTGAGCTGAGATCTGAATAAGGGGACTATTCAGGCTAAGATTTAGAGCACATGTGTCAAACACACGGCCCGCGGGCCAAATCCCGCCAGGCCTTGCAATGTGGCCCGCACCACGCTGTCATCACTGCACTCCGCTGCGTTTCCATCACAATGACAGTTTATGACTGTTCAGTAAACCATTCGGCCCGCGATTTAGGCTGGATTTTAGATTTTGGCCCCTTCTCTGATTGAGTTCGACACCCCTAATTTAGAGGAAGAGCATTTCAGGCGAAGAGCAGCAAAAGCAAAGGTCCTGAGGCAGGACTGTATGGGTGTTTGTGGACAAGGAGCAGAAAGAAAGCCAAAATGGCCTGAGCACAGTGTTGGCAGTGTGGGGTGAGGGGGAGGGCACAGGCACAGGTCAGATCCAGCAGAACATTGCAGTCCTGAGGTGAGTGGCTGTCTGGATTTATTTCAGTACAATGGGATGCCATTGTAAAGGTAAGCACTCTGTAATTTTAAATGATTGCTCTAGCTCTGAAGATAGAATCTATACTAATAAAAGGATAAAATGCTAGTGAGACCTGGAGACCTGGACAAAGCCATGGTGGCACAGCTGAGGCAGAGGGATGACTTAGGGATGACAGGCCAGGAGGGGAAGGCAGTTGGGGATGAACAGGCCGGCGGCGGGGGGGGGGGGGGGGACGACAATTGGAAGCAATCAGGCCAGCAGGGGGGACTGTTGGGGGTGAGCAGGCCAGCGGGAGGGGCAGTTGTGGGCAAGCAGGCCATCAGGGGGGCAGGTGGAGACAATCAAGCTGGCAGGGGGGGCCAGTTGGGGATGAGTAGGCTGGCTGAGGAGTAGTTGGGGGAAGCAGGCTGGCAGGCAGAGTGGTTAGGGGCAAGCAGGCAAGCAGGTAGGTGAGCGGTTAGGAGCCAGCGGTCCTGGATTGCAAGAGGGATGTCCAAGGAGTCCCAGATTGGACAGGGTGCAGGCTGGAATGAGGCACACCCCCCCCACACCCAGTGCACGAATTTTGTGCACCAGGCCGCTAATGGAATATAAAGGGGCAAGGTAGAAGTTAAAGACATATTTAGTAATACAGGTGAGAAATGATCACTTGAACTGGGTTAGTTGCTGTAGAAATGGGGGGGAAGTTGACAGATTTAAAATTTTTTGAGGTATGGTTTCTAAGATTTAGGAAAGAATCAAATGTCTTTGAGTGGAAAATAAAAATCTGACAATTGGATTAGTGATATTGACAGTGACTTCTTTCCTTACAAAGCCTCTGTGTTTCAGTCTTTGGTGTCTGAATATCTTGGAGGCAGAAACTGTCTTTTTTCATTGTACGCACCTAGCAAAGTGTTTTTGGGAATGTAGAAGGCATTTCATTCATCCATCCATCCACCCATCCATCAGCTTCTACTAAATGCTACTCAGTCTGTCCCATGCTAGAAGCTAGATAGTGTCTCCATAGAGGCAGAGGGTCCTCTCACGGTGAGGGATTAACTGCAGGTTACCGGAGTTATCTAGGAAGTAGGCTGAAGTATGATCTTAATGAAACTGAGGAGAATGTGATTCTACGAAAAACCAGCTGTTTTGGAAGACATAGCCTTTGGGACTCAGGACAAAGCAGCCCTCCAAAAATACGCACCTGGGCCCACGCAGAGGACTCTTAACCCCTCTCACCAGGAGTTCCAGGCTTTTGTTTTGTTTTGTTTTGCTTTCTTACATTGAACTTTGGCCAGTAAAGTTCACCTCCCACCCTTCAGGCCCGTAGTGAATTCTGTCCTCACCATAAGCACCTGCCCTGATGGACCTAGCTTGGAAAGTTTCACCCTCCTCTGAATTTCTTCCCAATTATCGTATGTGCAATCTAGTTGGCAATTACTAATTGACTGCCTCACATCACCTCTCCTATTGTCCTGGAATATTTATATCATGTTACATAACTTATTCTACTTGTTTGTCTTTTGTCACATCCAGTTGGAATCGTGAGCACAGGAAACATATCTGTAGCCTGTCCCCATAGTACCTGCTTGCCCGTAGTGCAGCTATATTTTGCTGTGACCGCAGGGACCTCTGGTCCTGGAAGCTGCTCAGAGGCTTGATTGGCTTTTCCAGTTACATATAGAGGCTCTGAGCTCCTGCTAATTCTCTTGTGTCCTTTTGCCCTCCTCTGTCTAGGCACCTCACTGTGAGCATGCTTTCTGCAATGCCTGCATCACCCAGTGGTTCTCTCAGCAGCAGACATGCCCGGTGGACCGCAGCGTAGTGACGGTCGCCCACCTGCGCCCAGTGCCTCGGATCATGCGGAACATGTTGTCAAAGCTGCAGATCGCCTGCGACAACGCTGTGTTTGGCTGTAGTGCTGTTGTTCGGCTTGACAACCTCATGTCTCACCTCAGTGACTGTGAGCACAACCCGAAACGGCCTGTGACCTGTGAACAGGGCTGCGGGTGAGAGTCTCCCCTCTGCCCACGTGGGTAAGGGCGTTCCCCGTTAGACCCCAGGCTCTGGCTCCCCTGCTCGCTGTGAGGGGCACAGAGGCGCTGCCGGGAGTGTTCTTGGCCACCCTGGCATCCTGCCCCAAGATCTCCCTTTCATACCGCGTTTCCAGCCGTGACCGTTTTGCTCTTGCTTTAATATAAGTGAGACAGCAATTCAGCAATCTGTGCGATAACACCAAAGACTTGACTTACTTTATTCTTTCAGTCCATTATTACTTTCTCCTTGTTTATTTGACTGCTCTAGTTTCCAGCCTTCTCATATTTCCTCTTACCCTATTTTCTCCCTTTTTGGGGGTGTGAACTATTTGATTAAATGCCGATAGCCAGGACTGTGAATCTAGGGCCTCTCATGAATGAATGCACAGGCAGAACCTGAAGGAGAAGATAGCCGTGGGGCAGGTAAAATACTGTCTCGGAGAGGGACAGAAGCCCAGAGAAAGGAGATAGAGAAGGGGTGAGGGGGGCCTGGGGAGGAGAGTGAAGAGAAATAAGAAGTTAGAAATGAGTGCATGTTGGAATGTGGGGTAAGAGAAAGCCCTCTCGGCAAGCTGCTGCCTTTGCCCGCGTGTCCCATTGAGCGCTCCTGTTGTCTTTCCCACCGGGGCAGCCTGGAGATGCCCAAAGATGAGCTGCCAAACCACAACTGCGTGAAGCACCTGCGCTCGGTGGTGCAGCAGCAGCAGACACGCATCGCAGAGCTGGAGAAGTCCTCGGCTGAACACAAGCACCAGCTGTCAGAGCAGGTAGGGCCCACAGAACATGAGAAAGCATGTCCCTAGTGTGCAAAGGACCACATGCTTGTGAATGATAAGCACCATGTGAGGTGCTTGTGCCCCTGGCTGGGTAGATACTCTCCCTGTGGCTCGGTACTGCAGCTCTTCTCCCTTCCCTTCATCCCCTCACTGTCATTCACTCACCTAACATTTATAAAATGCCTTCTCTTTGAACACTTTGATAAGCATAGGATACACCTGTGAATGACACAGTCCTACCCTTATCCTCATGATGCTTACCATCTGGTAGTTACTCTGATCTCTCAGTTGCCCGCATTCTCAGATAAACTGTTGCCTGTCATCTGTTCTCTGCCTTAACCATCATCGCTGGTTCTCTTTCTCTCCAACAGAAGCGAGACATCCAGCTGCTGAAGGCATACATGCGTGCACTCCGCAGTGTCAACCCCAACCTTCAGAACCTGGAGGAGACAATTGAATACAATGAGATCCTAGAGTGAGTGTCATTGAGGGCGTGGCATTACTCCACATCCTGGCACTGAGCCCTGAAAGGAGGAGAGCAGGGGAGTGGCAGAGGAGGAGGATAGGAGGCTGGGCTGCATGGGACATAGTATAGAGCAGTGGTCAGCAAACTCATTAGTCAACAGAGCCAAATATCAACAGTATAACGATTGGCATTTCTTTTGAGAGCCACATTTTTTAAACTTCTAACGCCACTTCAAAATAGCCTCACCCAGGCCGTGGTATTTTGTGGAAGAGCCGCACTCAAGGGGCCAAAGAGTAGCTTGTGGCTCGAGAGCCACAGTTTGCCGACCACAGGAATAGAGGAATAATTGCTTCCTTCAATAAACATTTGTTGAGCACCTAGTACATGCCAGGCACTGTGTGTGCTAAGTATTGTGACTTTTAAGAAAAATAATAGGGGGATGGTGTGGGACAATAAATAAATAAATAAATAAATAAATAAAATATATTTTTTTTTTAAAAAAAGGGAAAAACAATAGGGACCCTATATTTGTGGAGCTTAATCTGGTGAGTAACATATGGTGACTCGGATGGGACCAACTAGGGACAGATGAGGAGTTTGTGAACCAATGATGAATGGATGGGAGGGAGGCAGGCAGAATAGGGTTAAGCTAAGTGCAGGTGGGTGGTGGTTCCTATAAGGGAAAGAAGCAGTGCAGAGATAGCTGGCGAGCTGGAATGACCACCTCCATCTCCCTCCACACAGGTGGGTGAACTCGCTGCAGCCAGCAAGAGTGACCCGCTGGGGAGGGATGATCTCCACCCCAGACGCCGTCCTCCAGGCTGTAATCAAGCGCTCCCTGGTGGAGAGCGGCTGTCCTGCCTCGATTGTCGGCGAGCTGATAGAAAACGCCCATGAGCGGAGCTGGCCCCAGGGCCTGGCCACTCTAGAGACGCGGCAGATGAACCGGCGGTACTATGAGAACTACGTGGCCAAGCGCATCCCTGGCAAGCAGGCTGTCGTCGTGATGGCCTGTGAGAACCAGCACATGGGCGACGACATGGTGCAGGAGCCCGGGCTCGTCATGATATTTGCCCACGGCGTGGAAGAGATCTAGGTCCCGCGGGCTGCCGGGAAGAGGTGGAAATCAGAAAACCTCATCACTCTAGTAGCTGAGCCCCGAGTCCTCCCCACTGTCCTTCATCTTGTGGCTTATACTTGGCCACCTTCTCCCTGCTCTTCTGGCACTGAAGGGCCCTGGAACACTTTGCTCAGCCTTCTAGGTGGGAAACCCAGATTCCCTTCTTTTGCCTAATTCCTTCCCCTAAGATGCCTGTAAATTTCCAGTCTGGTTGGGAAAGCCCCCATTCTATATCTGTTTTCCTGCCTAGGATCCCTGGTTCCAGATACTTTTAGAAAGCACAAAGTTACTCATTTTCTCTTGAAGGATCAGGGTGGAGTAAGAAATCTTGAATCATTCCCCTCCTTCAAACCAGGGAATCTGAGCAGGCAGGCCTTTTGACTCTCAACACTTAGCGGGCAGCTCTGGGGAGCAGACATCCTGAAGACATAGTAAGGGTGGAACCCAAACCCTAGAAGTAATGAGCCAGTAACTGGCCGTCATTCATGGCCCTTAGGGGAAGACTGGAACTCTGTGCCAAGCAATACCTTGTTTAGCCCATCGTAAGGGCGCAGGCTCCCATCGGTGTGCAGGAGTGCAGGTTGGGATGCCGAACATTTCCAGAGGAACTCTTTCCTGGACTTCCTCCCAATTAAGGAATGACAGGAGAGGGCGTCGGGGGCTAGTCTCTCGGGGTGAATGTGCTCCGCAGGAAGCAGCTCTCTGGCAGTGGCTGAGATCAGGTAGGAACTGCCTCAGTGGCACAGGCCATCACAGTCCCCCAGCCCCTCTCCAGCCCTGTGATTGTAACTAGTCATTTTGATAATTCCCTTTGGCCATTGTTGTGTGTTTATATTTCATTCCCTCCCACATTTTTTTTTTTTTTAGAACGGCCTACTTATGGCTACCCCACTTCTCCAGCCCAGCCACATTGTTGGCAATTTAATTTATTTACTTTTTTTTTTTTAAAGAAAGGAAAAAGAAAAAAATGAACAAAACTTAAAATTTTTTCTTTCATTGTTCCTACGGTGGGGATTCTGAATAGGGTGGGACAGGGGTGGGGTCTGTTTTATATTTTTCCTTTTCAGCACAACCTTTGGCTTTAATGTAGGAAGGGCCAAGGGAGTCCTTGGCTGAATTTACGTCCGCCCCAGCCCTCCATAACCCACTCTGGGATGAGAGTGGGCTTTCTCCAGGGGCGGGTGTGTAGTCCGCACTGATGCCTGAGCCCCGGGGAACTGCCCCCGGCCCTCCCAGGGTCCCATCATAAAACTTTGGATGTAGAGGATTAATTTTGAAGAAACCACCCCATTTCCTTGGAGATGTATAGCTGGGTTCTAAGCTTCACCAGGCAAGATGGGACAGAAATTATGTCTTGGTCTCTGAGTACAGTCCTCTCACCGGCTCCATTTCAGGCTGCCCAGGCATTCCTTGACCCACTAGGGTGAGTGCAGAGTGAGAGAAGGGGAGGGATAGCAGGTGTGAGTATTTTAATATGTAGGTGGGAGTGGGGTTGAAAGAAGGCCATCTAACATCTCCTCTTTGGGAGTGTTAGCCCAGGCCAGCTTGCTGTAGGTCTGGGTAGTTGGTCCTGGCTCCACTGGGATTGGATTGGAGGGATACAGCTTGCAGGGAATAGGGGACAGTCACATGTTCCAGCTCCAGGACATTGTGCTCAGGAATTTGAAAACGCTGCTATACTTAATCTGGTTACTACATTTCTTCCACTCCCCGCTGCCCTGCCAGCCTTCCCGAGGCCCCTCCCACCCGTCGCCACCCTCAGATGGAGCCAGGAAGCTCAGTCCAGGCTTCCCCACCCTTTGCACTAGTGTGTCTGCAGGTTGCTGGTTGTGTTCTATGTGCTGTTCCGTAGTGTTGGCTGCACTAATAATAAACCTTTCACTCAACTCTAAATTCTTAATTCAATATTACTCCCCATTCCTGTAAAATTTCTCCCCTGCTTTGGCCTTTTTCTCACCTCACGTCCCCTTGTTCACTCTGTAACCTGTCCTTTCGTAGCACTCACCTCTGTTTTAAGAGGCTGGCTGGCTGGGTTTGGTGGGCACCTCGCACCTTTGCCCCGTGCGCGCCCACGCCCTTCCCTGCGGCCCCCTGCCCTGGAGCAGCCCACACGCCGCTCTCCAGAATCGGAATTGTGTTTTGTTCCAGCGTCTGCCTCTGCCCCTAAGTCCATGTCTTCTGTTCCTGGGGTTGGGGACACTTCCCACACAAGTTATTCATATACCTTTCTCTCTCTCCTATCTTTGCTTTGGAATCTGGGATTCCATCACAGGCAGGGAAGCCTTATCCCCCCCCCCCCCCCCATGCCTCCTAACCGAGAAAGCAAATGTGAGGGAGGGAACCTGGGACCACCTGCTGTGGCTGTCAGACCTCTAGGCCCTTCTGTAGGCGTCTGCTGCCACCTCCTCCCTGTTGAGAAAAAGAAAAGGTTCTTCTCCTTGAGTATATTATGTTTTAAATTTGTTGGGCACTTATGTACCAACTGTAAATCGAATAGTACTCTAGATACTCTAGCGGGAGTCAGGGGGCGGGCATAGGGGCATTCCTGTGCCAACCTGATCTCTACTACCTTTTTTTCTCTCTTCTATCACACTCACAAGGTCTGATCATTAACTAGTGGTGAACACGTTACAGTATAGAGCATAAGAGGCAATATATGTACTCTAGTGATAGCAGTAGTGCTTTCCTTCCCTAGTTTCCTTCAGATTTACATTCAGAACAACCTACCGCTCCTTTTTCAATGGGAAGTGGTACCAAGTCTTCTGTTAGGGTGGATTTGGTTTTTGGAAACTATTCAGACGATTCTGCAAGGAACTCATCGGAGTAGGTATAGGGGAGTTCATGTAGCAAAATGGCATCTACCTTCAAAGACTTACTTGCTAATGTAGGTGATTATATAATAAGACATAATAAATGCCAGAAGTAGTTTCACAGCAATAAGGAAGAGTAAGCAGAGGGAAGGAAGATAAAGCCACTGGTTGTGATGGGCACCAGGAAAGACTTTTCAGAAGTGGTGTTTGTTCCTGGGTCAGAGCGAGGAAAACTACAGCTTACATCTTGCTGTCTGCTTTTGTAAAAAAAAAAAAAAAAAAGGTCTCGGCCGGCGTGGCTCAGTGGTTGAGCACTGACCTGTGAACCAGGAGGTCGCGGTTCCATTCGCGGTCAGGGCACATCCCGAAGTTGTGGGCCTGATCCCAGTGTGGAGCGTGCTGATCAATGATTCTCTCTCATCATTGATGTTTCTGTGTCTCCCCCTCGCCGCTTCTCTGAAATTAATAAAAAACTATTTTTAAAAAATTGGAACACAGCCATGCCTGTTTGTTTATATGTTGTCTATGGCTGTTTTTAGATCACAACAGTACACAGAACTATGGCCCACAAAGCCCCAAACGTTTGTTTTTTGGTCCTTTACAAATATATCAGCCCATTCCAAACTTTTCTTTAAAGAATGGTTTATTGACTTTTAGAAAGGGAGAGGGAGACACCCATGTGAGAGCATCATCAGCCGCCTCCTGTACACCCCCTACCAAGGATCAACCAGCGCCTGGCATAGAAGTGCTCTTGACCAGGAATAGAACCAGCACCTCCTGGGGCACGGGAAGACACCCAAACAACGAGCCTCACCAGCCAGGGTCCACTCTAAACATTTTATTTTTAATGTGTATATTGATTTTTTTTTACAGAGAGGAAGAGAGAGGGATAGTTAGAAACATCAATGAGAGAGAAACATCCATCAGCTGCCTCCTGCACACCCCCTACTGGGGATGTGCCCGCAACCAGGGTACATGCCCTTGATTGGAATCGAACCCGGGACCTTTCAGTCCGCAGGATGCTCTATCCACTGAGCCAAACCGGTTTCGGTCCATTCTAAACTTTTAAGGTAAAAAGTATGTGTGGGAGAGCAAGTTGGTTGCTTTAATTTTTTATTTCAGTACATAGATTTGAAAAAGTCAACATTTTATACATTGCCAAAATAACCACTTAATATGTTCTTGACCTAATACAAACCTATATTCACATTTTCCCAACTGTCCCAAGAAAAGTTTTAGAGCTAACTTTTGTCCAAGCTGGGATCCAATCCAGGAACTATGCATTACACCACGTTAAGTGTCTCGACTCTTTCCTAATCTGGGTTCTTGGAACATTTTTGTTGTTCGTTAATCCTCACCTGAGGATATTTTCCCATTGCTTTTCAGGGAGAGCTGGAAGAGGGAATAAGCAGGCATCTTCAAACTACGGCCCGCAGGCCACATGCGGCCCGCAGAGGAGTCTGATCCGGCCCGCCAGGTTTTTTGGGCAGTGAGCGCAGCCGAGGTGTTACAGTAGGAATTAGTAGTTCATATAGTCCGGCCCTCCAGCTCTCTGAGGGACCGTGATCTGGCCCCCACTTTAAAAAGTTTGAGGACCCCTGGATAGGGGGAAGAGAAAGAAAAACATGGATGTTAGAGGGATATATCGATTGTTTGCCTCCCCCCACACACACATAATGTGACCCACCGGGTGTGGAGTGCGAACCTGCCACCCAGATACATGCACTTGACTGGGAATCGAACCAAGACCCTTCAGTGTGCAGGCTGGTGGCTCTAACCACTGAGCACACCAGCCAGGGCCAACACTTTTTTTTTTTTTTTTTTGGAACACGAACTTATTGAAGAGGTTGGGTGAGTTGTCCTAGAGAATGGTCTTTTGTATTTGACAGGCTTTTTTTTTTTTTCACATAGTCCTTCAACTTGTTCCTCTGGCTGCTATTTTTGCTAAACAGAATTAGATCTAGAGTCGGAGATTTAAGTTAAACGGTCTGGGGGTAGAAGACATCACAGGGAAGATGTTCTTTATGTTGTGTAACATCAAGAGACCGAGCCACTTGTTCTGCCACTAGCCTGATCTCACTGTGCATTGTAAAGCTGGTTGGATACGGACGTGCGCCCTGAGACAACGGGTCAGCGGGCACTGCAGCCCTGGTTGGTTGCTGCTATGCAAGCAAAGTGGCCCAGTATTGCCAAATCCTATGTTTCAAGAACTTGGTTCATCCTAATGTTTATGCTAAATCTCACCACTTAAATACTAGTTTTACTTCTTTTAAAAAATGCTTGTGGGCCAAAAAAAATGTAGGGTCTACCAGTTTGCAAACTCTGTTTTAGGCTGAAATAGCAGCATGGATAAAAACAAGTGGAGCCCGGCTGGTGTGGCTCAGTGGTTGACATCTACCTATGAACCAGGAGGTCATGGTTCAATTCCCGGGCAGGGCACGGGCCTAGGTTTTGATCTTGATCCCCAGTGGGGCATGCAGGAGGCCGCTGATCATGGTTCTCATCATTGAAGTTTCTCTGTCTTCTCTGAAATCAATAAAAATACATTTAACAAAAAAATACAAGTGGCGATGAAGGATATGTTGAAGACGGAAAAGACTAGTTAATCTGGAGCATAGAATTTTTTTAAGGGAACAAGGCTAGAAATAATTTAGGGCTAATGCTTGGAAAGCCTTGAGTACATGGCAGGGTATTCGGACTTTAATTTTATAGTAAGTTTTTGAGGAGACTTCCAACTCGTGATTTTAGTGGCAGTGGGAAGAGAAAAATTTTGTGACAATATTAATATGCTTTGCAGTAATTTATGTGAGGGGTCTAGAGCTTGAAAAAGCAGGAAAGAGGATAAGAGACATCCAGGGAGAAAAAAATTGACAGTGCTTAGTAACTGACTAGATTCACTCAGCCAACATTTACAGCATGCTTGTCATGTGCCAGACGTGGTGCTAGGCATTTGAGATACACAAATCACAGAGAAACAAGTCTTTGAAGCAGTGGTGGGGAACCTTTTTCCTGCCAAGGGACATTTGGATATTTTTAGCATCATTTATAACAAATAATCAATTTTAAAATTAGCCTGCTATATTTGATCAAACATTTATTGAACTCACCCCTAATGCTTTGGCAGGGCCAAAACGATTTTGTGGGCCTTACATGGCCCGCAGGCCGGACATTCCCCACCCCTGCTTTAAAAGAAGGTTCAGCTTGGTAGATGCATGTGAACAAATCATGGGAAACACAGGATAATATGTTGCTAGTAGATAAGGACTAAGTGGGACGATGAGGAGGAAAGGGGTCAACTACCCACCTGATGGGATGGATGCCGGAGGGAAGGCTTCTCGCAGGAGCCATTGGAGCCGAGTTCTGAAGGGTCACACGTTGGCTGTGAAGGATGGCATTTGCTGTGAGTCAGGCAATAAGTCATTAAACATCTAGTCATCTGAACTTGATTAAAAGGCACTGTTATCCTCTCCATTCTTTATGTGGGGCAACTGAAACAAAGGACGAACGTACATGGGGAGACACCATGGTCGCGAAGGTGGTTTTCCCAGGGCGAGGCTCATCCATTGCACTCCGGCTGTGCTGACCCCTGCGATTTCCCCAATGTGGGAAACTCGACTGCATAATTTGTGGTAATGGAGGACTGCGTTCACATTCTTCCCCTGGCCAAAAAAAAAAAAAAAAATCAGTAGGCCCAGCCAGTATGGCTCAGTGGTTGAGTGTCAACCCATGAACCAGGAGGTCACGGTACAATTCTCGATCAGGGCACATGCTGAGGTTCCAGGCTCACTCCCCAGCAGATGGCATACCAATCAATGCTGATGTTTCTCTCAATGATGTTTCTATCTCTCCCTTACCCTCTAAATAAAAAAAAATTTAAAAACAATAAAAAACATTTAAAAAATCAGTATAGGATGGCAGCCCATCATCTTACCTAATAATAAACATGTAAATTGACCATACCTCTGCTACACCCACAGCCAATCAGAGTGAATACACAAATTAATCCAACAAAGATGGCAGGCTAATTTGTATATGCAGGTGTGGATCGGCCTGGAGGGGCGGGATGCTTGCTATGTGGGGTGGGGGCTGCAGAGGGAGCTGCAGGAGCAGTGTTCCAGTCAGAGGAGTGAGGACTTGCCAGCTCCCAGGCGGCTGGGAGCGAAACCAGAGGCAGGAAGCCCTATTCTTCCACAGATATTGTGCAATGGGCCTCTAGTTGGGGATAAAGTGAAGAGGCAGGTCATAGCTGGTTTGGCCCAGTGGACAGAATGTAGGCTCTCAGACTGAAGGGTTTCAGGTTAGATTCCAGTCTTGATAAGTGGCCTGATTAGGGTGTACGCTGGAGGCAACCAGTTGATGTATCGCACATCAATATTTCTCTCTCTGTGTCTTTCAACCTTCCTTCCACTCTCTCTAAAATCAATGGAAAGCCCTAACTGAAAAAAAAAAAAAGAAAAAAGAAAAAAGAAAGAAAGCCCTAACTGGTTTGGCTCAGTGAATAGAGCATCCCAGGTTCAATTCAATTCTGATCAAGGGCACATGCCAAGGTTGTGGACCAATCCCCAATAGAGTGCCCATGCAGGAGGCAGCTGATCAATGATTCGCATCACATATATACACACACACACACACACACACACCACACCACACACACACCACACACACACACACACACACACACACACCACACACACCACACCACACACACACCACACACACACACACACACACACACCACACCACACACACCACACACACACACACAAACATACACACACACCACACACACACACACCACACACCACACACACACCACACACATACACTCACACACACACCACACACACACACACACACACACACCACACCACACACACACACACACACCACACACACACACACACACACCACACACACACCACACACACACCACACACACCACACACACACACACCACACACACACACACACACCACACACACACACACACACACCACACACACACACACCACACACACACACACACACACACCACACACACACACACACACACACACACACACACACACACACACACTAGTGGCCTGGTGCACAGATTTGTGCACATTGAAAATAAATTAATTAGAACAAAGATTTTAATATTGCTATTTGTCCTTTCTCTATAATAGAAGTGCCAGCCAATTTCACAATCTATGACATCAAAACACAAGCATGTGCCGAAACCGGTTTGGCTCAGTGGATAGAGCGTCGGGCCTGCGTACTGAAAGGTCCTGGGTTCGATTCCAGTCAAGGGCATGTATCTTGTTTGTGGGCACATACCCGGTAGGGGGTGTGCAAGAGGCAGCTGGTTGATGTTTCTCTCATCAACGTTTCTAGCTCTCTATCTCTCTCCCTCTCTGTAAAATATCAATAAAATATATTTTTTTAAAAACACACACACAAGCATGTGATTGGCGCCAGCAAGGTTTTATATGTATGGTGCATGCACGAATCAACCTAGCCTTTTAAAGATATAGAATAAACTTGCTTAATTAGAGCTGCTTCCTGAGTTAGCTAAACTTTTCCAGCCCAGTGAAGCACCCCAACTTCTCTTTCTGACATTTTTTTCTCTCCAGCCCATCATTCATCAGGAAGGAGGAGAGAGAGATAGAAACATCAATGATGGAGAGTCATTGATGAACTGCCCCCTGCACAACCCCCACCAGGGATTGAGCTGGCAACCCCAGGCATGTGCCCTTGACCAGAATCGAACCCGGGACCCTTCAGTCCACAGGCTGAAGCTCTATCCACTGAGCCAAACCAGCTAGGGCAAACCTTATTTTACTTGTTGATGAAACAGTGTTCTAATAGCGATTTTCAACTAGTATGCTTCAAAAATTTTTTTTCAATATATTTTTATTGATTTCAAGAAGAGAGAAACATCAGTTGTGAGAGAGAATCATTGATTAGCTGCCTCCTGCACTTCCCCTACTGGAGATGGAGCCTGCAACCTGGGCATGTGCCCCTGACCAGAACCCTTCAGTGCACAGGCCAACGCTCTATCCATGGGTTCATCCAACTGGTTATAGCTCTCAAGATTTTTTTTTTTTTTTTTTTTTTGTATAGCATAGTTGGACATTTATTGAAGAACAAGTACAGACTCCCACAGGGGGAGAGGTAGAGTCCCATAGAATGGACTCCCACATAGGAGGGGGAAAGGATCCCCTCAAGAATATTTTTTTAATTTTTTTTTATTGATTATGGTATCACATAATTGTCCTCATCCCCCCAATCCCACCCCAGACCCCTCCCTACATATACCCTCACTCCCTCCCCCCCTTGTCCATGGCCACTGGCCAGGCCCATATGCATGCACACAAGTCCTTTGGTTGATCTCTTCCCCTTACCCCCACCCTCCCCTCAAGAATTTTTTTAAAAATATATTTTATTGATTTTCTACAGAGAGGAAGGGAGAGAGATAGAAAGCTAGAAATGTCGATGAGAGAGAAACATCGACCAGCTGCCTCCTGCACACCTCCTACCAGGGATGTGCCCACAACCAATGTACGTGCCACTGACTGAAATCGAACCTGGGCTGGGACCCTTCAGTCGGCAGACTGATGCTCTACCACTGAGCCAAACCGGTTTTGGCCCCTCAAAAATTTTTAAAACATGCAGTACCTGACTATTTAGTCAAAGGGCACTGACCTCTTTTGCCTTAGATTGTCAATAAAAATAAAAGATGACAACAGCCAACACAACAATAACCATTTGGTGTGAATGAATCAAATTATACCTTTTTTTTTTTTTTTATCAGAGTGGCCAAAAACATATTTTTTTTTAGTGTGCCGTAGAATTTTAGTCACACTAAATTTGATGTGTGCCACGAGATGGAAAAGGTTGAAAATCGCTGTTCTAAGAGAAAAAACGAGGACAGTGTCTCTGAAGCCCATTAAGAAATCAATGGTTTCAAACATAGCACAGATTTCTACCACAGGGTTGTTAAGATAATATGAAGCTGGAGGGAGAGTGTATGCATTTTATTAAAAAAATAAAAGAAAGTAAAAATGTGGTGGTTCATGTCAGGTGTAGTTTTGTTCTGAATTAAAGAAGGATTGATCCATTATAAAAAAAATAAAGCCCTAACTGGTTTGGCTCAGTGGATAGAACGTCGGCCTGCAGACTGAAGGGTCCCAGGTTCGATTGCAGTCAAGGGCATGTACCGGTACCTTGATTGTGGGCACATCCCTAGTGGGGAGTGTGCAGGAGGCAGCTGATTGATGTTTCTCTCTCATCAATGTTTCTAACTCTGTCCCTCTCCCTTTCTCTCTGTGAAAAATCAATAGACTATATATTTTTAAAAGTAAATAAAAACTTTAAAAAAGAAGAAGACTGATCTAGCAGATTAGGAGAATTTGACCATATAATGGAAGGGTACTTGTAGAAGTTTCCTTAGGAGATTGAAATGAGTGGTATTGCAAGCCTAGGTGAGAAGGTAATTCAAGGGCAGATAAGCAAGGCCAAATACCAAACCAGAAGAAACTAAAGAATGCCAGTGGGTAGGATGTAAAAATGGGGAGGGAGGTCTGATTATGCAACGCAAAGAAAGAGACAGGTTGTTGGGATAAAAGGAGAAGGATGAAAGAGCAGGGGACGGCTGGCTGTGGGATGGTAACAATGTGAATTTATCTACTACTGTTCATGAGGATTGGAAGCCTTGTCTCTCACCCCGAAAGTTACAAGGGAAGCATTTGAGAGCGGATTTCCTAAGTACCACACCACCTCTGCCAGCTTCCCATTCTCAGTCCAGATCCTCCATTTTATAAAACCGTGGGGCCTTCTTCCTTTCACAGCATAGTTGTCGGTTGCCCTCTGCTGGTCAATATTGGTGTTGGCTCTGCAGATATTTAAGTCTGAGAGCATGCGCAAAATGGGATTCAGTGGGAAGCCAAGTACTGAATCTGTTAGGTAGTATGACAGTATATATTTGATCACATCTACATGTAAGACTTAGTAGAGTAGATACATATAAAATACAATCCTAAATCCCAAGAAGCTTATAGTACAGTCTGAGTGAAGACTAAAACACGTACACGTACACGTACACTGTAAAAAGCATCCATTCAGAGAGGTGGGGGAGATAGATCAACCGAAAGACTTGTGTGCATACATATAAGCATAACCAATGGACGCAAAAGTCTGGGAGTGAGGGCATGTATGGGAGTGGGGTGGGGGGGCAATGGTAAGATATGTACACATATAATACCTTAATTAAAAAAATGGGGGGAAAGCATCCATTTACTCAATATTTTTTTTTCCTTATTGAAGAGCTTATAGGTGCCAAGAGTTTATATTCTACTGAAGAAACAATCCACATAATAAGATTATTAGGGCATAGGACATGGTGGGCGACAAGTGGTTAGAGAATTGATATTTAAGTGGAGACTGAGTAGAAGGTGAGGCTAAGAAAGATTCTTTCAGGCAGAGAACAGCATGAACATGGACAAATGCTATACCAAGAATTAAAATAATGCCAGTGGATGGAAGTAGGAAATAAGGAAGAGTGGTGAGAGAAAAGAGGTCAAAAGCAGCTATAGAGAGTTTTGGGTTTTTAAAAAATATATATTTTATTGTTTGTTTTTTTCACAGAGAGGAAGAGAGAGGGATAGAGAGTTAGAAA